CGGACGATTACAGAAATTCGTCGACAATCAAATTCTGTGCTGACTTATTCCCTGCTCACAGATATCCTTCCGCTAGCGCCGAGCGTGAATTGATCAAACGTCCTTTTAATTTCTAAGGCTTACTTTCCGGCAAATAAAATGAACTGAATGTAAAAAGTGAAAGAGAAATAGGGAAAAATTCAAATTCAAATTAAATTTTTCCTATGGTTTAGAATAAACTATTCTCGAAACCGAGAATGTTTTGATCAAAGCTGTGTAAATCGAACTGAAACTGTGCACGGAACCTTGCGTTTCCTGTATTTATATGTGTGAAAATCTTCATTATGAATCGGTATATTTCAAGGAGCTACACAACGAGCAAGAATATATACTATTGACCGACAATATACAGAACGGGGGCAGCTGTAGTGTCAACTATTACTAGTTTATATATTGCACCAGATGTCCGAAGGAAAGGCAAAGAAAAGTGAATCTATCAATGAGGATCGACTCAGCTGTGCGCAGGAGTCGCGTTTTCATTGATACACAGCAATACCCAATTTCGCCCACAAAAATAGTCAATTTAGAATTAATTTAGAATTTCAAGAATCTTAATTTGTTTAGAGGTGAAAACCATAAGATATGCTACTAAAGAAAAAATAAATGGCTTTCAATTAACATATCCGAGTTCACGTCTGGTGGAGGTTGCCTAATAGGCGACAAATTCAGACAAGTGGGGGGAGGTACAGGAGGGTAAATCTCCCTTGGAGCCCCTCACTACTTTTTCAGCCAATTTCTCCTTCTTCCCTCAACTTGGTTTAAAAATTGGCGACGGGTACCACACGACATAGCACACAAAGAGGGCGTTAACCACCGTATGTCACGCATACGAAGATTTTTATGGAGAGAAAGCCCCTATACCTACCAAGTATCTAAGAGAAATACTCTATTTTATATTAACAGAAAACTCGTTTCAATATTGCGGTAGCAACTATCTACAGATCCATGGAACAGTCATGGGAGCAAAGACAGCCGTTGCTTTTTGATTTGCTAACATCTTCATGACCAGAATAGAAAACCAAATACAGAGACAGAGCTGTGCTGAATCGATTGAACTGCTGTTTCGGAAAATATATATTGACGATGAGTCAAGTCTAGATAAAATATAGGGCTTTGTGAAAAAGGCAAATAACTTTCACTCTACTATAAATTTACGGCTGAGATGTCAGAAAAAGAGATCACTTTCTTCATTCTTGGACGCAAAAGTGTACAAAGGGGTTATATTCAACAAGGAATCTATCCTAGACGTGCAAGCACATTACAAACCAACAGAAACTTTTTAGTACAAGAACTCCTCTACTCGCCAAACCTACTAGGAGTGAAGAAAGGCTTCATTAAAGGAGAAGCGCTCAAGCTTCTAAGGATTTTAAAATTCTTCTCAAACCAATGTTGAGGAAAATATCAGAAATCTCGAAAATCGCCTGATAGAAAGAGGCTACCCCGCCGCTATAATTGTGAGAAAGTACTTCTCTGAGGATCGCCGACAGGAAAACAGCCCCTCAATAGAGAAACAAATCCGCGCGTAAAAAACTACCTACCTTTTGTTACACAATACCACCCAGCTTTACCTAGCCTAAAGAAGATACTTATAGGGAAATGGCGCCTTATTCAAAACCAACAACGGCTAAGAGAATCACATCGCAAGGAAAGATCGCTAAAGGCCCATTAGTTAAAGCGAAGCTTTGAAGGTCAGATAACTTCCAATACGATCAAGTGCAGGGGCGTGTGTTGCTCATCGCCAATTTTTAAACCAGCTAACATCAGATATATCAAAGTTTGATTCCATGCTTTCTCGGTTAAGTCCAACCAAGCCGGGTCCCAGGAGACCCAAGGGGATCGCAGTGCACGTCAAATTCCCCGCCCCCCATCCCTTGTCATCACACATAAAATTAGTACCTTCTAATTAATATCTTCCTACTCCCAACATTTTCGCCCCGATTTCTCCCTCCTCCCTACTTTTGTGGGCCATTTCTCCCTCCTCCCTCCCTATTCTGTTTCTCTCCCCTCAAAGGAGGAAACCGTCGTTAGGTGCCCCTGACTACAAAACAGGGTACCCAACAACAAAACGTAACAAACCTCAAGATGATAGATCTTAACTACCGTAACCCAAAAACCAAACAAATAAACAAAAAATAAATAGAAAATAAATAAAATAACAAGAACCGATCATTAGTCTCGCGTCTCCTTTTGTGTGCCGCTCGCGGGTAAGTTTCGAGTGTGGCTAGAACTTCGTGGCTTCGTCAGAGCCAACTCCTGACGGCGAAAAAGCGACGAACGAGTACATCAGTAAAATAATAAAACAAAATATATATATTTCAAAATGATTTTCCCGATATTTCGGTTTGGAAGACAAACCTTCTTCAGGGTCTAAAGGATGAACAAAAATAAAAGTAAAACTCCAGGTCACTAGCGATGTAGTCCGCTCAGACAGCCGTTTTTAGTGTCGTCACGCAACGCTCCTACACACAAACTTAGTGGGGAGGAGCGTTGCGTGACGACACTAAAAACGGCTGTGTAGCCGGACTTCTAGCGATGGAGCCGGAGTCGGATTCGGATCAGCCTCCCACGCTAGGCCTTTCCCGATTGTGCTCGGCAACTTTTGAGTAACTTTTGGCGTTTGGAGCAACTTTTTGCGGTTCTAGCAACCTCGAACAAATTTTGCCTTTCTGATCATGAGCAACTTCAAGCAAGAAAACTTCTAAAGAACGCGAATTTCTTGAATGTTTACCTTTTTTTTTGTAATTTTTAATATTTTTTAAATTTTATTTTAATTTTTTTAAAATTAAAAATAGCTTAAGTTTCCAGCTATTTTTCTTGACCGATGTTAGTAATTATTGTGAACAACGAAAAGTAAAGCTTTTAATCAACGTTTATATAAAAATATCAAGATATTTAGGTGGCAACTTTGGAAATTCAAGTAGCAACTTTTTGGCATTCCAGTGAGCAACTTTCCAGTATTTTACGAGCACAATCGGGAAAGGCCTACCTCTTAGGGGTTCGTCACGCGTTCCTGCCCCACTTAATGGGAGGCTAGATTCGGAGTCGTAAGAGGAGCTTATGAGCTAGTGAAAATTAATAATCGGAGTCGTAAGCAGAGTCACAAGCGCGACTGAATCAGAGTTGGAAGAATCAAACATTTCCATTATCTTTCGACCACAGTTAGGACTCCGTCGCTCACGATCGAGTAAAATCCAGATTGCGGAGTCGGAAGCATAAGCGGAAGGATAGACCAATCAAAATGCACAGTATGCAAGGTAATCTCCTGAGGTAAGGTCACCCTATGCAATCCCAACCTCGTTTCCAGGGTTCTCTCCTACCCGCCCTCTCGCTTCGTAGGGAGGGTAGGAGAGAACCCTAGGAGCGAGGTTGATGTAATCCACGCTGTGGATTCCGGTTTCTTAGCGCTTTACCCATAAAGTTAAAAAAAGAACCAGTAAGAGAGTTCTTTTTCTCTTTCAGGAGTTACCGTATTTCCTTGAATAATAGCCAGGGGCGATTATTTCTTTTTTCGCACATAAAGGGGGCGATATTATTCGAGGGACGCGATTATATCAAATATTGCTCACTGGAAGTCCTGCCCTAAATATGTTGTTATTTATTTTTCCATTAAATAAAAAAAATAATCACGTCAAATAAACTGAACATGGGTATTTTAAGTGTTCCAAATTTAAATGTCGTTGCACTACAACTTGACAGGGACGGAAAAAAAGGAAGAGAAGATGGCGAGAGGGGCGGGGAGGGGCGATTACCCAGGGAGGGTACTCCCATACATTACCTATACGGGTATGTGCCGCCCAACGGGGTAGTGATTTTGGATCTCCTGATTTAGAACGGGGTATCCATTTTAGAGGCGTTTTCTAGAACGGGGTATAATATTTCGAACGCACGAAAGCTCCAGTTTTGTAAGCAGCTATTTGAAATTATTCAAGGACAGATTGCTTTTAAAAATGCGAGCGTTAACAAGCAAACTGTTGTACTCTTGTTGCACCCTGAACGGAGTATAAAACATTGGCCCATTTCTAGAACGGGGTATCAGTTTTAGGGCGAATTCTAGTACGGGGTATAAAAAGTTGGCCCATTTCTAGAACGGGGTATCAATTTTAGGGGAATTTTTTTTTTAGAACGGGGTGCCAATTTGGAGGCCCGGGCGGCACATACCTACCCAAAAAATACCCAAGTGCCTCCCCCGGGGGCGATTATTCGAGGGAGGCGAATAAGAGTAAGAGGCGATCAATCGAGGGACAGCCATTATTCGAGGAAATATGGTAAGTTAAAATTATATCATATTCTGCCCGATGTGGGCAACCAAAGGCAACCTTTTGGGCAACCAGTGGTCGAAGCCCTTTCACAGAGTCAAAGGAGTCAGTCTGTATGATTGCTCCTAACGTGACAGATCTACAAACCTTATTGCCAATGAAATGTCCTGCGGAAAGAACAATACTGTCAATACTGACACACTGCCGTCATGTGAACCGAGCATGTGAATAGCTGCAAGGAAAAAAAAAGAACTGTAATTTTTTTTTTCTGATTTTTACTGTTGGTGCTATTTGGATTGAAATCGCCGTTTTAAATGTGTTGAAATACATGATAAAAACTTCATTAGTACAACAATTAAGCAAGGTTTGCAATTGAATAGCAGTTATCTAGTAATCACTGGTAAACATTAACTTCCGTTGTCTGGGTCCATTGACGTACAACAAATTAATTATCAACGGCATTCCAGAGTCGCTAAAATCAACCCAAAGTGTTTCCGAAGTGGCTAAGATCTTTTTGTTGGCCTTCAACATTTATGTTGCAAGTCACATTTGCTTCCAATCGCATCTTCCGTGTTCATTTACCACATCGTAACCTGTAGCTGAAATTTCAAAGACGAGGACAGCAAAAAACGCCATCTGGACCTCTATCTTAGCTTTTTATCAACAAACTGAAAATTTCACGCAAACCAGCCGGGTTTTGAGGCCATGAAGATGAAGATTATTCCACTGTCGCTATTGGTGTCATTTTTAGCCTGGATAATTGAAGGTGAGGATGAAATTATTAAATCATGATGATGTAATTTTTGTCACTGAAAATTAAAATTCGTTAATACCTCGGTGGCAAATGATTCGACATAACTAAAAGGACATTGGTATACAACGAGCTCAAACCTATAATCATCCTCAAAAGATCTGTGTAGTACTACAACATATACATAACAAACATTTAATCATCTGTATAGTCGTATGAGTTAATTTTTTTTCCTGTTGTAGATAAGGAGACAATTTTCAGTAGAATGAAAGTTCCGTGCAATCACAAAATTTTGCTTTCTTTAATTTTTCACTGTGTGTTCTGTGGGAACAATGTCGTTTGAGTGGATAATATACCAAGCCCTGAAAGACCGCGACATATAAGCAGATTACATCGTTTTCAAGTTTTATTCCATTCAAGGATCACGCCGGTGAGCCAAATCTCCTCTCGAAACTGATATTATATTACCCACCACGGGAAATGTTATTTCAGTAATTATCTAGCCAAGTATTTTTTTTTCACCCAGACGAGGCCATCCATGAGGGTCCGGAAGTGCGAAATACCGTATTTGTTCTGATCAACAAATTGTGTGGGTAGCCTGTGCTTACAGTTAGAGCGTCAGTGTTTCATTTCTCGTAGCCAATATTGTAATCAGAAGGGGAGAGGGGACAGCAGGTCCAGTTCCCTTTTTTTCTCCCCTTACCCCTAAGTTACGAAGGATTCTATACAGTTGGAAATAGTTCGCGAGGCTTGCGAATGAACGCGGTGCAGAAAGTGTGTCTCGTCTTGAGCTTTCACTAATTAAAACGACGCGTGCTCATTTTCAAAACGAAAAGCGACTGTTAGACAGGATACGACTGGGGGCAGGCCGAAGGGTAAGCAAATGGAGAAAGGGTCTAGTTTGTAATCCATTGTGCGATATAGCCTTGTAAACCGGCGAAAACTTGTGTCGAGATGTTCATTCTATTTCACACTATTCAAGTAAAAGTTCACAGATTTAACTTACAGACTTCCTTGAATAATATGAATAGTCAATTAATTAAGATAAAACAAATTAATTCGTATATTGAATAATTGTGTGGTGGCCAAAGTAGAATTTGCTTTCGAGTTAGCCACCACCTACTTAAGAATAAACAAAAACACACTGATCTAAGGGCCTAAGATTTGTTGTGTGTAAAAAAATTGCTGCTCTTTGTGTGAAAGGATGAAAGGGTCTTTCACTGACTAACACATAAAAATTATTATTTATATAGGAGGCATAAAATTAGGCCCGATTCAGAAGCCGAACTTTTCATGAGCCGAACCTAATACATTGAATTAAGTACATGAAAAGTTAGGCGTCTGAATCAATTAGGAACGCCTGTTTCAATTTGGAACGGCTCAGTCGGTCTTTTCTCCTAGCCTGGCCGAGAATTTCGCCTTTGGAGCGACTTTGGAACGGCTTTGGTTCAGACGTCGAACTTTTCATGTACCAAACCTAATGCATAAATTATTACAACGTATTCGGTAAGCAATTTGACCGAAATTAACATTTTTCGACTTTTGAACTTAGTTCAGCTGCAATTAAGATAGGCGTCTGAATCAATTCAGCCGGTTCGTGCATGCAAAGGAAACTCCAACAGCTGTATGGACTGCTGGTCCCGTGTGCTGGTCACTATTTCCGGAACAAATGGAAATAAGCTTGAAAAACTCTACCCTGTCTACAACCACCCCATCTTCTAAACAAAATCAATTTGTTTGAGGGGAGGGGGAGGCTATTTACACCGGACCGGATGGCAGCTTTTGCACCGACACGAAAACCAAACAGGATAGGGTCTCTGTTCACACATGAGAACGGTGATTTCGGCTGATTTCTGCAACGAAGCGAAGCTGCCACGCCGCTCTGATCTCTAAAGTGGAGAGTCACATATCATATCGGATAGGTGTTTATATACACTACACCGGATACGACGGAAAAGCTAGCCGGCATTATAAATATGAACATAGCCTTAATCTTTGCCAGATTTCTTTGGCACGGGGGGGAGGGGGGTACTCCCTTATAAGGGCTTAATGGGGACGTGCGGCCAGCCAGGGTATGTTTTTCGGGATTTTTGTCTTAAACAGGGTATCGATTTTATCATTTTTTGTCTTAAACAGCGTATCTTTTTAAATAGTTTCGTGATTGCCAATGGAGTAAATAAGAAAGAGTTTCGATATTTATTATTGTTTTACACAGGGTATGGTTTCGGGTTAAATGTCTTAAACAGGGTCCCGTGTCCCGGGTCACAGGGCCCCGGGGGGCATGTGGCCCCTTTTAGCTTTCTTAACTTTGTTTTTGCTGTTACTGTTTTTGTTTTTCTTCTACTAGACTGTTTTTTCCCACTTCTCCGATTAACAAAATACCCAAGGTTACATGTTCGCGACGTAGTTCAGTTTTTCTCTTTGCCCATTTTCCTTGCAGCTCAGAAAGTTCTAAAAATAAACAAGAACCTCATCGAAAAGAAACGAGGAGAATGCGTCGATTTTCGGGCTGAACATTACTTCGCGCTCAACTCATCGTCTACATTCGTTTGGAAAAAACAGCATACCTCGAGAATGGTTGAAAATGATCGCATTAGTATCTCAGGAAATCGGAGAACGCTTCGAATAACACATCTAACAGAGGCGGATACGGCGTTATACTCATCCGAGGTCGTGACAACAGGGGGCCTGGAAGTGACCCAATACTGGCTGGTTGTTCGAGGTGGGTGGTGGTCTGCTCTTTACATTTTGTTTCATCACGCAACCCTTCTTCCCTTCAAAGAGAAACTGGGGGTGGCCACTTCTTTAGGGTGGACCATTATTTTTTGACGGGGGAGGGGAGGTTGGAAAATTTTGAAATAAATTGTTTGCAGAGGCTGTAAACACTGAAATAAATTTTATGCAAGTAAAAACAAAGTGTTCGCAGGAAGACGGAGAGTCAGTATGACCCGCTTATAAAAAAGTGTGTATATGTGAAAATTTTCCACCCCCTCAAAAAAATAATGGTCCGTCCCTTATTTGGCCGAGTAAGTGGCGCAGAACAGGGTATGGTTTTCAGGGTACTGAGTTTTAAACAGGGTACATGTATATAATTTTAGTATTCAGCGTCTTGAAAAGGGCCGTGTTCTGGAGCGGAAGCCTTTAAGAGTGTGTGAAGGCTGCAGATGAACGGTCTACATCTGTGGCACCGCTTCTGCAGCACACCTCTACCCAAACTTCTCTTGAGTGCCCCCGCCCCCCCCCCCCCCCCCCCCCCCCCCCCCCCCCCCGCACCAAACCCAAAACCTATCCCTTTTTTTGTGAGACCACAGCACCCCCACAACAAAACAATAATTTTTTTTATTTAAAATAACAACCATAAAAACAGACGGGCAGGAAAGGAGAGAGAATCTGGTGGTGGGCGACGACATTTGTTCAGTGTCTTGGAAGGGGTCTTGTTGTGAAGCGGAGGGCTGTGAGAGGGTGGGGAGGGGGCGGTTTTACGGCCTCCTTTGGGGCGCCCCTTTTGGCGCCTCCCCCCACCCCAACCTTTTGGTGGTGGCCCCCCCCCCCCCCCCCCCCCCCCTTCCCCTCGCCGCGTAGTAGAACATCTAAAACGATTTCTCATTTTGTGGAAGAACCGGACCTTCTCACAGGAAATCTATAGTTATTTCTATAGATATATCTATAGAACACCTATGGTAGACTCCCACGCAGACGTTTCGTCACGTGTTCCTTCCCCGCGAACGTCTTCTTTGGAATTCTAGAATCTGTGATTGGTCGAGTTTTTTTGAACCGCTGTTTCAGCAGACCTCGTGGGGGATGGAGGATTGTGTAACGAGCGAAAAGAACGTCTGCGTGTGAGGCAATACCAGTAGGGGTGTTCTTTTTCCCCCGTTTAGAAATCATAGAAATTATCGCAATATCAATTTTTAGTAAAATCCAACTAGTGGTCTATTATCAATGCTACGTTCTGATTGGTTAAGCTACTACTAGGCTATATATATATATATGTTATAGCCCACTAGTAGCGCAAAGCGCCGGCTTTGAAAACCAAAACAATGGCGGCTGAATCGCGTTTTGTCTCGATATTCGTTTTAGTTGTTTTGTCTCGATATTTTTGACCAACTAGTTGGATTTTACTAAGACAATTATTCCTCTTGCCCTCATGGCCTCTGAGTCAATAGCCCATGAAGCCGAAGGCTGAGTCAGAGCCCATTCGGGCTCGAGAAATAACTGTTAAATAGTTTGCTATATAAATGACAGTCTCCTCGATGATATTCTCCTTCTCCCAGGTTTTGCTATCAAAAGCAGCTTAAGTTTCACCTTTAATTCTCTGTAATAGTGCTTTTCTTCGCTCTCTAGGCTGTGAAGTTAACGAGAAAGAGACTGATTTAAAAGGTTGTGAAAAAGCCTGCCAAGGTTAGTAAGAGAGCATCAGTTTCCCCAACCTTTCCTTTTACTTTGTAAACTCTGTGAGCGTATAGTGCAGTATTGGCGGTATGAATTGCGAGCACATAGTCAACACTCCTACACTACAATCACGGCAGATGCAAGGTAACATTGCGTTTACAGATCAACCAGATTCAAAGATAGGCTTCTCCTGTTTTAGGCTGTCAGAGAGCACGCACGGCCCAGCCTAAAAAACAGGCGCTACTTAGCCGAGCGCGAAGAGCGAGAGACAAGCGTGGGGGCGCCGACAGGCGAGGGTTCTCTTACCCTCGTCTTGCGCTCCGCGCTCAGTTGAATAACGCCTGTAATTCAGGCTAGGATGGGGCGAAGTGAAGAAGGGAGAAGAAAAAAGAAGGAATTGCCGCGCCCCACTATCTGAACACTAGGATTCGGGTTGTCTCCTTAGGCAATAAACTTTGCTCCACATAGTCTTCCTACCTCTTTTCATCCAGCTTTTTAGCTGGATAAATGCGGGACACTGCTTCATGGTGCTCGACTAATGGGCCTCTACCTAGAGAATTTATCTATTCGACATACCTTTGTAGCATTAAGATTAGCACCTGACTGATCGTATTTCTTTCATATTTTTCAAAGCGGTGTGTGTGAAAGACTGGCATCATTTCAATGGGAAATGCTTTCGCTACTTCTCCAGTCCAAAGACCTGGCTGAACTCTTATTACTACTGTCAGGCAGCTTTTAGAGCTAAACTCGCGACAATTGAAAGTAAAGAGGAGAATCGGTAAGAAAGCAGCCTATGGCCTTCAAATCTGCCCCCAGGGTCTCTAGTCTACCTGTCCCTTGGACTAAAGATGAACGGTCCTGCGACGGAAATGACGTCGTGCGACGGCCTTGTGTGTAAACAAACGTATGCCCGAACGATTTTTTTTCAGAGGTTTTTTTTCCGAAACTTTGCTTAAAGGAATTCCCCTGAAGGCAGTACAGTTTTTTTGCTCGTTTGACGTAATTAAGCATAACGACCATTTGAGATCAACAGAGTGGGGACTAGGGCAAAAAGGCAAATGGGGCTTAAGCACTAAAGGTATACCTCAGTTAACGCCAGTAAGCAAGTATGTAAGTCAGTCAGTCAGTCAGTCAGTCAGCCAGTCAGTAAGTAAATAAGTACGTAACAAAGTCAGTCAGTCAGTCAGTCAGTAAGTAAGTAAGTGAGTCATTCAGTCAGTCAGTCAGTCAGTCAGTAAATAAGTAAGTAAGTAAGTAAGAAAGAACTTTATTATAGTGTCGAGGTCGCTAGCATACAATGTGCTCTAATTGGGGACACCTAACTACAATTACTTATCCAATGGTCAATGAAATAACCTAATAATCAATAAAATGTGAAATATATGTCCACATGTAAAATCAGTTATTAGTTGTTACATAAAAAACATTCTTTACAAGTGCTGTCCAGCAGGTTTGTTAATTTAACCAGTTTAATACAAGCGTTTTGAAAATGCTCATTGATTCAGTTGATCGAATAGATCTATCGAGTTTGGACCAAATGACAAGGCGTAGGTAGTTCGAACGGCTCCAGTGAAGGTATCCTAATTTGTTTTGTTATTTATTTTTCAATTTGAAGCTTTGTTGGCAGTCTTCTAAAATCAGGCCATGGAGCCTGGATAGGTTTAAACGACAGAAGCAATGAACACAAATTTCTTTGGAACTACAACAGATATGAGAAACCGAGTCTTTTCTTCTGGGACAAGAGCGATCCAAAGAACCCTGAGCCAAATAACTTTAACGGTCATTGTAATGTTGAAACCTGCGTGGAGATGAAATACTCAAACAAGAAATGGAACGACGTGGTTTGCAAAGCTCATATAGCTTATGTATGCCAGAAGAATTCTAAAACAGGTGCGATATATGAATTAACGAAGAAGGAGAATTCAAACACCAGAAAGCTCAGAAAAATTTCGCGAGCTCTAAGTAAGAATCGAACTCACGACCCTCCGAGTTCTAGTTCGGACGCTCTAACCACTGAGCTACTGGAACTCTAATGGCGAGCAGAATCGGAAGAGATAAAGCCAAACTATTTGATCGATATGGCCTTCTCGACACACCTGTAAAAAAAAGAGACAGCCAAACAAACGTCATTGAGAAAGGGTGACACTTAAATTCATCTGGTTGCTTTATTTTCAAAAAATCTAAACGTGTTTTTGCATCAGTTGAATTCCAAAAAATAATAGTCCAGTATTGTTATTTAGGGCTATCTTAAGGCATTGAGACAACCTCGTTCCCAGGTTCTCTCTCCTCTCTCTCTCTCTCTCTCGCTTCGTAGGGACGGGTAGGAGAGAATCCTGAGAACGAAGTTGGCATTGAAACTGTTTCCTATTGTCTGTTGCTATGGATGGCAACGATGGACATCGCCTAGTTTCAAATCGAGAGGGGCTGGGTACGAGTCGATTTATTAATTTATTAACTTTATTATTATTATTATTATTATTATTTATTATTATTATTAACACATATCACACACTGGAAGAAAAAATACACAAGAACATCCAAAGCCGGGGGCTTAAATGGCTCAGCAAAAAAAAGACGTGAACAATTTACAGGAATAGAAGAAGGCTTTAACTAAAATAATTACAATACAATTATTAGATAAACAATACGAGACCCATATAGTCAGAAAGAGCACACTGAAATTAGCAGGATTCTGAAGTTTTGTGTTTATCGGGCCTATATTGAACGAGATACGATACATCCATTCAAAAACCCCAAAATTTACTATTATGGAAATATATAGACGTCCGGACGACCATACATCTCTTATAAATTTTCAAGTTTATGTAAATAGCTGTATCTTGTTCAATATTGGCCCGATCGACACCAAACTTCAGATTTTTATAACCTCAATGTGCTCTTTCTGACTATGCTGGTGTTGTGTCGTTTATCCCATAAAAAAAACCGCATTAAAAAAAACCGACTCGTACCCAACCTCTCACGATTTGAGACTATGCAATGGATTGAAACTTGAAAAAGTTGGGCTAAGTTTTAATGCTATGCCTGCTAAAACCACCCAAAAGTTATTATCCAAGAAAGAGGTCTGTGTAACCCGAACTATCGCGATTACCGCCTCTAACTTTAGTTCTATCTCGTTCCCAGATCTCTCCGGATGGAGGTGCCAGAATGGAAAGTGCTACTTGTATGTCCGCGATACAGTCACATGGGACTGGGCACAACAACGCTGCCGAAGCAGGAATGCTACTTTAGTAACGATATCGAGTTCGTCAGAAAACAGTTTTGTTGCAAGTTTGATAGAAACCAACATCTGGATTGGACTCAACGATAGAGTAGAGGCTGGTACGTGGGATTATTTGGGCTTCATAAACCAACCTGTTATATTTTTAAGATATATATTTGGTGGCATGTTATTTGAGACACATGTATCCGGATGTTTTTTCAAGATGGCAACCTCGTTCCCATGTTGTCTCCCTTACCCGTCGAAGAAGAAGTAGGAGACGACCCTGGGAACGAGGTTGTTCACGATGGCTGCTGCCTTACGACGCATACTCTGTTGTCAATATTCCCAGAGGTGTCCTGGGTACTAGATTGAATCCGGATACGTGTCGGATACGTGTGGACGTGGAAATGTTTATAATCCGAAAAGAAAAGTTGCGGATTTAAACAGTTTCCGGATACGAGTGGACGGGGCCTATAAATCTTAGCCTCCTACGCAGACGTTCTTAGGCCTTTGTCACGCGTTCCCTCTCCACGCGAATGTTCGTGGGGGAGGAACTCTTGACGAAGGCTTAGGAACGTCTGCGTGGGAGGTTAGAACAATCTACGATTGTTTGCTAAACGTTCGGTGGTTTTAAAGCTATTAGAAAACCTGTGGAATAACTTGTTCATTTGTACTGAGACGTCATAATTATCATCATTTTCCCCATCATCATTATCATCATCATCATCCTTAACATCATCTTACTCCTTTATATTTGCAGTATATAATGTTTCTATCCATACTATTATAGGTTTGAGAACCAAATACAGTTTTAATTGTGTTTTCACAGGATTATACGTCTGGAATGATATTGGCCAAGGTCAGTTCAGCAAAAGACCCTCTTACCTTAACTGGGATATCGGAGAGCCAAACGATCGACATTACGACCCTTTTCAAACTCCTCAGAGATGTAAAGGAGAAGATTGTGTTCAGATCAAGAGTTGGAAAGACGTTGTTAGTTGGTTTGACTTGAACTGCAACATTGAGTTGCCCTTCATTTGCGAAAAGAGTCGAGGTAACCGAACGTTATTTATGTTAAGTTGTAAAATGCTTAACGAAGTGCGCGAAATCATGGTTAGAACCAGCTCGTTACATTAGAACTACTACGTTAGTTACGGTTTCTGTGCCACACTTAGGTGTAGTGTGAACAGGTTTTAGGACCGCAGCGGAAGTGAATGAGTAAGAGCCAGGACGGGAACCCACTGAGACGGAAGTATTCCGGCAGAGGAGTGATAATAGTGTACCAAGCCCTCTCGACCAACAATTTTCGACGAACAATTTGCTCCGGCTCTGGTCTGTTTCTGTTCATACCAGGCCAGAGTATTTTTCATGTCAAAATGAAAAGATATCCGGTTATATAGTGTCTGTAGTGTACACTCAGCTTAAGTTAGCTACCACAGCAGTCTAAGATAAATCGAACCATGAAAAAAAGCTTGCTCTAACTCATTTTCCTTTCTCTGGTTATTTTCAGACCCATATTTAAGCTTTGCTGCGTGGATAGCTATCTCCATGGGAGCTGGACTTATATTAAGCATATTTGGAGGACGAGCTTACATGGAGTATAAAACGCGGAAAGGACGGAAAGAACTCAAGCAGCTAATAGTAGAATCCGGGGATTAACGGTGAATGAAATTCTGACTGGAGTATGCCGAACTTTCTGGCCCTGCAAACAAGGCCGTTGAAGAAGATCTGAACCCACAAAAGTCTTTGAAGCTTAGGTTCGAAGTCCGAACAATAAAGAAAGATCTCTCAGAGCTTGAGGACAATGGAATAATGGCAGCTATATTACACCAAACACTTTCTGATGTAGTTCACAAAGAGAAAGTTTTGCTCTTTAAAACACTAAGGCGACTGACTCAGTGTAAGTGTGCGTGCGCTAACTTACTCTGAAGATCAATGTAACAGGTTGGCAAGGCTAGAGATTATGCAGGACGCTTCGCAACCCCTGCCAGTACAAAAGGGGCACAGAAACTACTTTTACGGTTTAGTATTAATGTCGTCTGCTACACAGCCGTTTTTAGTGTCATCACGCAACCCTCCTCCCCACAAACGGCTACTGAGAACCGAACCACATTCCTTTACTATTTAGCCGATTAGAATTCATTCAGGTTCGATTTTCTGGTAGGTGTTCGCACCACGGTCACTCATCCAACCACAGCCTTGCTTGTGGGGAGGAGCGTTGCGTGACGACAAAAAAAACGTGTGTGTAGCAGACTACGTAGGTTTAGTGCGCACTCGTCTCTTTTGAGGGCGTACTGCGAATAAGTGCTAGAGACGAAAGAGAAGGGCCTCTCTCCCTAAACCCCGACGGTTCCTTCTTTTTGGCCGTACGTGGTACATAAGCAAAGGGCGACCGCGACGGTGACGGTGACGGCAACAAGAACGGCGAAAAGGGAATAGGTTTAGATTAGCAGAACAACAACTTTGCACGTGCGTCACGCTTTTTTGTGCGCATTTCTTTGCCGTCGCTGTACGACTACGACGTGAAAGTGCCTATTTTCACGTTTTCTGGAGGAGGTAAACACAAAACGACGATTTTCTAAATCTTTTGAGAAAATATTAGAACTCAACTCCAGAAAAATTCACCAAATTGAAAATTTGACTAAACGACATGGAATAAGAGATACGAATTTTAAAACAGCGAGAATTCACCTTTTAGATGACGTTTTCTCCCACTTCGTCATTGTCGCCGCTTCCCACGTCTGATGCCACAAGCAAACACTTGACAAAAGAAACTATAGATCCAATTATTTATCATCTGGACACTTTATTGACAGAGCTGAGTATCTATTTATGTGGTGATTTTCGTATAGAGAGAAGTACAGGATAGTTCTCCCTTTACAGTTACCTCATTCCCAGCGCCTTTACCTTAAAGTGAGAACGCTACCACTTAGAAGGGAAAAGCCCTGAGAACGAGGTAACTTTTTAGAGGATACTTTTTCCTACGCAGGCGCTGTTAAATGCATTAACTTGTATATCATATATGGGATACAAGATATTTTATGCAGAAACAGTTTGAAATAAAGAACTTACATTATCCATTGTTGTTATTTGAAAAGCTGTTGAAAATTTTAAAGGATCTTTCCATTCGGGCCCGAGAGGTATTCTCCTAGTAACTCTTCATTTGACTCCTTGGAGGACTGCGATTAAAACGTATAGAATCCCATGTATCATCCTTTCGTTATTGATGATGAAGCCGCCTGATCGCTGATCGCTGCCCGCACGGAGACGCGACGAGCGCCAGGGGGGGAGAGGAGGTAGAAAAGATCCCAACGGTCTCACTCTCTGGTCTCCTGGGCTTAGTTTCAGCTGTATGGACCTCGCTGACTCTGATCGCAGCCTGTATCCCCCCACTCCTCTCCCCGCCACCTCAAACAAAATCGGAGAGATAGAGGAGAGAAAGGCGGCCTAGCAGCCTTCATAGGCGTTATTGTTTTTTTTTTTTTCTGCAGCAGGTCGGAACGTTGAGGGATGCCCAAAACCGCGATACCGCGGAAAGATCGACAAAAACTGAAATACGGCGCAAAAATTTCCCTGAAAGCGCAATACCCCAAATACCAATGTTGCAGGAGTGAAAGCTTTCAAGAAACGCGGCAATGCGATATGCTGTACGTTTGGGCTCAAGAACATCCAGCTTACATTATCAAAACGTTTTGAAAGGTACCAGTTCTCTTTTGGGATGAACAATCGGACATCTTCGGCAAAGCTTCGGCAAAGCTTCGGTGTCAAGTCTTCGAGATCTCGAACTGACATATCACGTGACTTTGTTTGAGTAACCGCGGTACAACAAATGCTTCCTCTCCAAGATGTCGTTGTTCAAAGCGAGAGATTGGTGGGCAACTTACGCTGGTAGCGACGAGGAATTTGATTTGGGTTGCTTGTGTGTGGCAAATATTGATAATAATGCTTCAGAATTTGGTAAGTTTGCGAAGGATCTATTCACTGCAAGCATCTCCAAGCGTCCGGTGATTTTATGGGTTTCCATCGCAAGAACTGGAAGTCGCGAACTACAAAAAATCGAATGAAGCTTTTCATTTAATCGTTTAATACTCAGAGGAACTTCATGTGTTTGCGATTGCCATGCTTAATTATATAATTTTTTTTTTCGTTGAACGAAACATTTTCGGTTAGTTTTCCAGGACTTAGCACCTTATTAATTGCGAATAACGTGACTTAGGATTGACATTATTATCTAAAACTTCAAGTCGAGTTTTAGTCTTGTTGCTAACGAGCTCTCTTTGTTATTGTTTATGATATCCATGACTAAAACTGTTAATATGTTTTGAAGTGTTATAGAAAAAAAATTGTTCGTCTTCTTAAGCTTTTTCTCGGATTTGCTAGGGAAAAATCTTGACTTATTTCTTGACTTGTAGTTGCGAACTGAAAAATTTTTAGCGATATAAAAATGATATCAGTTTAGTATTTTTCAAGTTAGACAACTGGATTGTTAATTTTTTTTGTTGCAGATAAAATTATAGTAGGAAGCTATCATGGAATACTTCGAATTTATTGCCCAAAGCCCCCAAATTTTAAACCTGATGACCTTATGCTGGAGGTCCAACTTCAGCAACCCATATTGCAAGTGGAAGTAGGGAGATTTGTTTCGTAAGTAGTTAATTGGTTTTTTTGTTAAGCCTGGTTTCCATATGATCATCCAGATTGCCTTAGTCGTTTGAAAATAATAATGTTCGGGCGATTGGGACTATGATACCGGAAAACATTTCTCGGATGATCGCGAAAGACCCAGATGACTGAGAGTACCTTGATCATTTGGATAGAATTGAGTTCTACCTGGAAATTCGGGATGATCGTGTAAATTTGAGGTGATCATATAGAAACATTCTCAGATGACTGAGGTGATGGGAACATTGTAAATGGTATCCCAGAAATCTTCACTCTTATCCCAGTAATCAGAGAGTAATTAGGCCTGGACACCACTGAAGCCAAACATTGTTTATAAACAATCGCATGAACTTTGTCATGTTTTTGCGCGGCTACTCTGATGGGCTATTCCCTTGTTGCTTGAGTAAAAGATGGACCCACTTCTGCAATAAAGCTAACTGCATGTACTTATCATTCTGGCAACTCTGTCTGCTTTCAGAGGAATTGATCAACTTCATTTAGCTGTTCTTCATCCAAAGAAGCTTGCTGTTTACAGTGTTTCAGGTAAGCTAGAAAAAATCAGTAAGGAGTGAAGTTCAAGATCTTCTTACTTTTTTAGCTGGTCTATCAATTTTATGAGTAACGTCTTTTAGATGAGTCTTCATTTCTTGTGAACTGCGAAGTCAAATTAATTAATGGATGATTAGGGGGTTGAAATTTGTATTATCATGTGGACATATATTATTATTTTATTTATGTGTAGTAAGTATTGTTCTGTAGCAGGGTTCTCATTAAATTTTAAAGTAAATGTACAATGTAGACAGCTAGGATGTAAGAGTAGGCGGCTTGCCAATTGAGTGCTGCAAGCAATTTCAGGCTTCCACTCTCTCACTTCCTGGCCCTATTTCCCCAAAAAGTAGACAGCTCAAACCTCCAAGTAGCCGGTTATTTAGCCCGCTGCAGGCACTTAATGAGAGCACTGTGTAGTGATTGAATTTAAACGGATATTGTATTACAATCGAATTTAATATCTTGACACTTTGTGCTTACTGCGCTTTTCAAAAACAGGCAAATTCTGAAGTTTAAAAGCAAACGCACGGACATTTTTTTTTTGCCTGCCATCAATCATCTTAGTGGACCTCTTAGGAAACAGAACTTTACTTTAACAGGTTCAAAAGGTCATGGGTTTGTGATTTTAATTGTGATTGGTGGATTTTGATCCGTTTTGTGTGTTTCTGTGTTTCGGGGTTCGTTGCTTGTGATTGTAATTATGATTAACAGCTGCGAAAAACGCGATATTTTGTGAAAGCAGCTTTTGAACTTTAGAGTGTTTGTTAAAAGCGCTGTGATTAACCCTACAATACAAAATCCATTCTTCTACAAGTTTCTTTTACACTGTACAGTATGTGCTAAATGTATTAACTAATTGAATGTTCTGCCTCACTCTAGTGATATCAGGAGCTGTAGAACATGGAAATCATTACACTCTTAACCTGGCTTATGAACATATCTTGGAGAGAACAGCTTGTAACATGACATATGGTCCTTTTGGTGGAGTCAAAAGTGAGTTCTCTTGTTATGTACGTTGTACATGTCTATTTGTAGTGTGTTGATTATACTGCAGATAGAACACTTGTAGCAGCAGTGCTGTCATTAAGGGAGGAGGGCTGTTATGAACTTGACCCCCACCTACGTTTGTAGGAAAATAGAAGAAAAATAGAAACAAGCAAATTCCCTAGCTGTTGAATGCCCAACCTTCTTGTATCATCAACCTGCAACTGGAAATTTTAATGACAGCCCTGAGCAGCAAAAATAGAGGATAATAATTTTATTACAGATCCTTGCAGAGATACGAAATTTGCTCTTGTGTTGATGTTGAAAAATATTTTAGAATGAGCACAGTTAATGAGTGAAATATTTTTCAATGCAAGACAAGAAGATAAATAATAAGATAATTATTTCATACCTCATCTCCAAACGGCCACGCAATGTTCTATTATTTTGATATAAACACCAATGAAACGTCAAACAATTTCACTTATAGATAGTTGTTGTAACATGTACAACCTATATGTACACTTCAAGGTAAAAGGTCTATATTGTATTTAAAAGATTTAAGTTTTTCTAACAATTAACACCATGGGAAAATGTACAGAACAGTGTGAAAAACAATATAAAGATTTATTTCCATTGATCTCAGGCAATGATTTTGGTACCTCTACATCCTGTGTCCCTGATGCATAAAAATTCTCGAGGTCGCAAAATAATATCATTGATGGCTTGCATCCTTTGGAACGCAACGATCGATCGCGATCAATTGATCTATCTAAAGATGTGTCTTGAAGAATGCCGTGTTTCCACAATATGAATTGAAGAGTAATATCGTCTGCTCGTTAACTAGGTTAAGAACAAGTTCTGTTGTGAACAAATAGATAGAAAAATTTCCATGGGGATGCAATTCACCGATAAGATTTTTTTTAAAGCAGCCATGTTTATTTACCTGGTACATGTAGATGTATGTTTGCCATATATGGAAAGCATGTGGCTGAACCAAGATGGCTGACAGTGGTTCGAAGTACGGCAAAGCTTTCGTCTAACTGATTCTAAGCTTCAAGGGCTTATGTTAAAATATGAAAATTAGAAAATCCCACCCAAAAATGTTTTGCACTTATGCTGGAAAAAAAAAGATAAGTTTCTGATGAGAGTGACAGCATTGCTGTTTTCTATTTTTTGCTAGAAAGACTGTAATTTGATTTCAGTACACTGACTGTAATGTATTATGGAGATAGGTGCTTTCTATTGATAATGTCAGGTACAGATTAAATGCGATCATCTGGTTTCATGAGGGTTATGTCATCTTTTAATACAGAATTAAGGACTCTAATGTTTTTTGAACTGGGACGCATTGATTCTGGACTGGGACTCATCAGGGCTTCTGATATTTCGCGCGGTCGCGGACCCGCAAAATTCTGGTATTTCCGCGAAATCCCGCAAAATTCCCCAAAAAACGCGAATTACCGCGAAATCCGCCGGAAATATTTCCAAATACATGTCGGCAAAACATATTTAATACTTATCTTGGTTATTAGACCTGTTTTATTCACCCCAAACGTCCAAATTTATCTTGAAACTTCGTCATGTCACTGCAACGAGTAAACAACATCTCAAAACTGCCACGCGTTCTTAGATGAACGTTGCGAAAAACTGGGCACTAACCATAATGTTAATAGCTTTAGCATTCGCTCATTTCTCGAGCGAACTGTTGTTGAAATAGCCTGATTCTCAGACGTCCGAGGTCGTTCACGGTCCCTTTCGCTTCCCTCGAGGGAAGCGAAAGGGACCGCGAACGACCTCGGACATCTGAGAATCAGGCTATTGTTGAAAGAGCAAATGATCATCCCTGTTAAAAAAACGTTAAACAACGCTGGTCATATTGACGCAAAATTGATTGATTTTAGCGAAATTTCCTGGCAAAAAAAATCCAGCGAAATCGGCTGTTTTTTACTGATTGTTTCTTGGCCAAGTTTCCCCCCAAAATTTCCTGTGAAATCGGCCGATTCTTCTAATAATTTGCCCCTGAAAATCCTTCGAAATTTGACTTTTTTCCGCAAAAATCCCGCGAAATCGGCCAATTTTTCTGCTTATTTTGACTTTTCTTGCGCAAAAATCCCGCGAATTCGGCCGGTTTTTCCACGAATTTGCCCCTGAAAATCCCGCGAAATTTTGCTTTTTTTTCCGCGAAATATTAGAAGCCCTGACTCATAATTTAAGATGAGTCCCAGGACTCACTATTAGCAAATTGAAAAAAAAAGAACTCCTCAGGGCTTAGTAAAAGAGAGTTACAAAGTAGCCATCAAGTCCAATCTGCCTTTCTTTTTGTTTTAGACAAAGATTTTATGTGTGTCCAATCCATGGATGGCATGCTGTCATTTTTCGAACAAGAGAGCTTCGCATTTGGAAGATTTCTTCCTGGATTTCTTCTCCCTGGGCCATTGAGATACATCGCCAAGACTGATTCATTTATAACTGTCAGTTCTTCTAGACTGGTGGAATCTTACAAGTATGTGGCCTTGTCTCAGAACTGTTATTCTCCCGCGTGTAATAGTCCAGTTTCGAATTAAAAATGCCACTGAATAGAAACATTAACGACACATTCATACAGGGTTAGCCTGAATGTAAAGCAAAATGTTCAGAAATTCTAGCAAGTAAGTGTTTGAAATTTGAATATACACAATAGACAGAGTAAAAAACAGGTCTTTTTCTTGTTGGAATTTGTGAATATAGTACTCAGAAGGAGGCTAAGCCTGTAAAAATGGGGACTTCACTTCTTTAGTTCAGCGGTCATAGCAAACTCAAAACTAGACTATTTAAATCTACTTGTACAGGGCTGTGCTTGTGTTGACTTAATTACAGCTGTACAAGTTTGTGTTTTTCGACAACAAGATGTGTTTGTACACTGCAAATGTACAAGTAGCTAAGAGGTACCCACCAGCAATTGGTTTTACATGATGGTAATGGTGATGATGATGATGATGATGATGATGATGATGACAGTAGGGATCTTTAGCATCGACGACGGTGATGGCAGCAAAAACGTCACTTTGAAGAGGCATTCGTGTTGTTTCAAACATTGTCACGTTTATTCCAATCCCCTGAAAATGTCAACTGTAATGGAATTTTACTAGAATTGATTTCTTAGGGACTGCATTACGTTGAGAAAGAGAAAGAAAAAATTGCTGTCCCTTGTTTACATCCTTCACAAAGCGTGAAATTAGGCATTTTCACGTGGTAGTTGTGGAGTGACAGCAAAGAAATGTACAAAAAAGCGTGATGCACGAGCAAAGTTGTTGTTTTGCTTAACAAACCCATTGCTCTTTTCTCGTTCTCATTGCTCTCGCCGTTGTCATTGCTAAAGCTCCCTAGTGATGATGGTGACGGTAACGATGATGATGATGAGGAGGAGGAGGAGGAGGATGATTTGGCAGGCAATACTAACAGTTTTATTCTATTTGATGTGCAAAAATTTTAAGTCTTACTGGTCAAACAGGTACACTTAATCACTAAGTTGCTGATTGATCGAGTACTGCTGTACATGTATAAAATGTACAATATACCTGTGTTACATTTAAACTGAAAGGATTGTAACCACTTTAAGTCACGGTGTCATGTTCTAATTAACTCAATGCACCTATGTTTACAGATATCAGACTTTAGCTGTCGCCACTGATGCTAATACAAAAGAGGATATTGGAAACAAAAAAGTGTCTGGAAAGAAGTTAACGGTACTTATTCATGACATGTACATTGTTTGGTCTTATAGATTGTCTTTACAAACCCAAAATTTTCTTCTCTCAATCCCTAGAAACCTGTCAAAAATAATTTTAATTTTAACTTTTTTTAATTAAAAGTGTGGGTTTTTTATTACATGTACCACTGTATGTCTTCTGAATACAGTAACTTTGTCTTAAATTCATCACACAAGCGTCATACACGCCGTATGTACTTTGGGTACATGCATGTGGGCTGCAGCAAAACACAGACACATTGATGAACTGTGATACATTGTTTTTCTTCCTAAGATATGAATAAGCATATTTGAAGGAGATCTATATCATTTTAATTGTTACATTTTGTAGATTTACAAAACAATCATGGCATATGCTAGCCTACATTGGAAATTTTGTGAAATCACTGTCCTTAACATTCCTTACCCAGCCTCCACATTTTTGTAAGGCAATTTATGATGGAGACACAAAAAAAAAACAAAAAAGCAAACCATCCCTCCTTTGCATACATGTACTTTTTGGTTTCATTCAAGGTGGGGGACAAGGTGGTGAACACTCCACTTACATATAGTATCTTGGAGTAATGATCTACTGTACATCAGGTTGAAATTCATCACACCTTTTTGTCATAGTGTCTAAAAATGTTTTGGTGATGGAATAAAGAGCTATTTTCTTTGGTATTTTTGTCAAAAGTGCAATGTAATGCTAGTAGTTTGGCAGTGGTTTCCCTGATGGCTACCAACTGCCGACAATCAGGCCCCAGTTGTTCAAATGTCAGATAGCACTATCCACCAGAAAAATCACTATATAGTGTAAAAGTATTATGGAAACTAGTTGCACTATCCAGTGGATAGAGATTTACATTGTATCTACTGGATAACGCTATCCATCTATTGAACAACGGGGACCAGAAAATAATGCCCCAGATGAGATGAAAGTTATGATGAAATGTGTAATTCCTTTTTTCTTTCAGATGGACTGGACTTGCAATATTGGTGAAAGTGCTATTGACATTGTGATTTTCAGCAGCTCAAACGCACCTCTTTCAATATTTGTCTTAGGTGAGGCATATGAAGTTTGCATTACTATTAATTCAAAAGGCATAGGTAGTAGGCATCCTACTGATGAACAGTTATGACTTATAGATGCTTCAAGCAACCATAATTTGCCGTCTGTCCTCTTTGATTTGCTATTTTAATGCTACTCAACTTTGATGGTAGAATTTTTTTTCTTTGCAGGGGAACGTTCACTGTTTTGTTTAAATGACAACGGCTCAGTGAGATTCATGAAAAAGTTTGAATACAATCCTAGTTGTTTTATTCCTTACAATTCAGGTATGAATTCAGAATAAAATAAAAAATAATTAATTAATTAAAATTAAATTAATAGCTCATACATGAGACTTTCTTCTATTCTAATTTTTGACAATTTTGCAAAAAAGAAATTACATAAGTGTTTTTGTAAACTTTAAAGTTAATAACGAAGCAACCGTTTTGTGTTTTAAGACAACTGTGTGTTGTCTTTGTTTTTAGACAACATTGCAGTAAACCTTGCATACGTGTGTAAGGCTACTCAATTACCAAAGTTCATTTTTTTCCATGGGCAAGACTCTGTAGTTATCTCTGATATTGCTCGCAATTCTACTTTTACTGGAAGTTTGAAAAGTCGGGATTGCATTTAAAAAAATTAAGTTTTGTAACGCAGAATCTTTATCAAACAACTATCAGATTTCGTCACACGACAGTGGAGACTCGGAAACAGACATACATGTACAGTTAAGCCAAATACTGTACAATGTGCATAAAATAAGAATTCAAATCCTATGCTATTTCCTTGCAAAGAAGGTACACCAGTTTTGTTCCTCTGTTCTGGCAGCTTGGAGAATAGGAGTTGTTTTCTTTTCGCGTTTTTGATAATTTTTTGCGCGCCATTCCCGGTCGCGTGTGTCTCGCGCTCCCCGCCCACTTCACGCTTGCCTCCGCTTGCCTGAAAACGCGAAACGTATCGCCTGTTTCTTGTACCACAAACATGGAGGCCGACCTCAACAGGCACGTTGACTACTGTAGGGTGGATTTCCAATGTCGCGTAATTTTTACGTGCGTTCGCGTGGATAACTTAAGCGCAAATAAAATAGAGGCAATGTTTGAAAGGCTACGCGTGAACGTAAACGTTGATCCTTGCATAACTTTTACGTGTACGCGCGACCCTTGATATAAAGCCTCGTTTTTATTTAATACGCAAGTAACATGACCGCGCGCAAGCACGTAAAAATTACACGACAGTGGAAATCCACCCTTATCGATGTAGTTTTTAGTTTTGATTGGTCCTGTAACTTTTCGTTAACTTTGCTTTCAGTGGTGGAAGGTACAGTGAATACTCTTATAGCAACCTTCAATAAAACGCTTATGGTATATCAAGATGTAGCTCTAACCTGGGCCGCACAGCTTCCTCATATTCCTGTTGCTGTCAAAGTAGCGTCATTTCAGTAAGTCGAACACTAAGGGTGGTTTTCCACTGTCGCGTAATTTTTACGGGCGTAAGTATAATAGAGGTAATGTTTGAAAGGGCGAGAGTAAACGTAAAGTTCAGAGAGGTGCTACTTAAACGTTTACGCGCGACCTCCCATATATTGCCTCTATTTTATTTACGCTCGTAAAAAATACGCGACAGATGAAATCCACCTTAACTCATATAAACTAATATTTATAGTTGCAATCAACTAGCCCAGTATTAAAAATACATATCGTCTTGGCAGTGGTTACGAAAGCAATATGGAGAAGCCTATTTTATCAATTTACTTTAATTCAATCTATTCTTACGGCGTATCGTACAAAGTGGATGTAGAAGAGAGCGGTGGAGAAAGGACTAGTAGGAAACTTATGAGCCATTGATAATATCTAGTCCACAGGAGAAAAAGGCAATTCGGCAATTTTTCTTGCAACTTGTCTCGCATTTTGCGCCGTTGTGAAGCACCTTGCACAAGATTGCTGTGGCGATTTTTCCTGGCACTTGCAACGCTACAACAAAAAATAAAAAGGTTGCGAACCTGGGCCCAAAGAGATTGCATTGCGTATCAGGTAAGATGCTGGGCAACCTGGATTTCACTGGCTCAGAGCACTGGCTCCCTTTAATTTTTCAATTTTTCTTAGAGCACCGCTTTGCGGTTAACTTTAATTACCGTTAATCCTTTATAAAGCCCCTTCCCCCTCATTTAACTGGTAGAGAGCTTAAGATTCTGAGACGAGGACAACTACGAGTTCGAGATTTTTTTCAATACTAAGTAGTGCTCACGCTTGAACCAGCGTCATTTTGGCGGAAAACGTGATAGCCGTCGTCATTCTACAACGAGCTTAAGCGAGAACGGCGGGAACAAGTTATCAAATGCAAGAAGTTTTATCATTTTGCCATCGGGAGAGGGCTTAACCTCCTTCAGTATAAATAACCATATTAAATTTTTTTGGTGAAAAAAAGTAAAATGTAGCTTTCCGGGGTGTCTTTTTTTGAGATCACGCGCAACAACTTTTAGTTAAATCTCGTACTCGTTGTCGTCCTCAAATATAAAGCTGTCTACTAGCCGATGAAAGTAGCGATCATCGTGTCCTAAAAACAGTTTCATAGTGCAATAGTCCAGTTTCTAGTTCGCTATGACCGCTGAATTAAAGAAGTGAAGTCGCATTTTTTACAGGCTTAGCCTCCATCTGAAGTAATACATTCACAAATTCCAACGAGAAAAAGACCTGTTTATTACTCTGTCAATTGTGTATATTCAAATTTCAAACACTTACTTGCCGGAATTTCTGAATATTTTACTTTATGTCGAGGCTAACCCTGTATAAATTTCCCGTTAATGTTTGTATTCAGCGGTAATTTTTAATTCGAAACTGGACTATTCGACACGCACAAACTCAAAATAACCGATAGGGCAGTTGCCTTGAAGTAACTGTCATTTTTCTTGTTATTATTTTTTTGATTCAGGGAATTACAAGGTGTGATAGTAACATTAGATGACACCGGTTATCTTCACTGTGCTTATCTGGGAACGGATCCATCAATGATGGTGACTCCTGCCCCTGAAGCCAGAGACATTAATTATGAGGTGAGCACAACTGAAGGTGAATAAGGCTATGTTAACCGTTTAATGTTCACCAGCACTTTACCGGATAGGTCTTGCGCTTCACGAAAGCCATTCCGGAGAGACGGCTTCTGTTCACATACAAGAAGCTAAACCCGCGACGATCTTGAAAATAGAGCGTCACATATCGGATTGTCCGAATAAGTCCTGTGCCGCACTTTGACTCAGTGGGAACAGGTATTCGGATGGTAGTAGAAGTGAATAAGTAGGAGCGAGAACTGGGACCAACTGAGACCGAACTGCGAAGTAAATATTCAGGAGAGGGTACTGGGATTACCGTAAAATTCCGAAAATAAGCCCCTCCAAGTATAAGCCCCTCCAAGTATAACCCCCCCTAACCGGTAACGCAAAAAACTCTCCGTTAAATCGCCCCTCCAAATATAAGCCCCTGGGGGCTTGTACTTGGAAAATTGCCCTCAAATACAAAGTAAAACAAAGCAAAAAAGGTAAATTTACTTCCAACTATAAGGCCAGCCCAATTGATTTTGAAACGCAAATTTCCCTCCGCAGGTAAGCCCCTCAAAAAGGGTCTTTGAAAAATATAAGTCCCGGGGCTTATTTTCGGAATTTCACGGTATATGCACCAGACACTCTCGGCCGACTGCTCTGGTACGATGTTCAATGTGTGCGAACGACTTGTTCCTGCTTTTCGTGTCAACACAAAAGTTTATCTTTAGTCAAAGACACCTTGAAACGGTTTTTACGCCCTATTATAATATGACTGAATCCGTGAGCGGGCAAGATGAAGCGAATCCAGCATTCTGATTGGCTACCCGAGCAGGCAAGATTGACCTATCATGCCCGCTCGGGATTTCCCGCGTTGTTCCCGCAAGAAAGAGTTCTGTTTTTGGCCATATAATAAATCCTTTATTGACCAAGCTTATTCGGATCAAGATGCTTGTACATGTATATTGATCTCGACGAATAGAAACGCATGTAAGAACTGGGCCAATATTCAGCCATCTTGACACCACGCTAGGTCAATGACACATTTGTATATTTTTAATAATTTTTCCACGAGTGCGCGTTGGATATGAGTTACCTATAATCATCTCATATCCAATAAGCGCGAAAGGAATAATTGTTTTATTGAAAACGCCCACAAAATATCGAAAATTCTTCCTGACTTTATTTGTAAAAACAACCGATTTTCAGCTTGTTTTTAATTTTGAGCAGACGCGTACAGTTACCATATTTGGAGAGTATGGTATGATGGCTAAGCTAATCAGAGCTCTATAATTGCATTATCCAATGATTCAGTTTTTAATAAAAACAAGTGTAACATATAAAGTGTTAAGTAGTTTTAACGATGCAGACCCTTCTGTTCTTGAATATTCATGTTGTGCAAAATTTTTGTGACACTGCTCCTTGAACTGTGATCTTCTAAGTAAGTGATACGATAGGACCGCACTTAGCGATAACTTGAATAACACTCAGCTTTCACCAAATGCCACGCTTAAATATCTACTGTCAGCTCTCCCGTTCTGGTCGTCTGTTGCTTTCTCAAACATCCTATGAAGTTTCCAACCAGAAAGTAACGTGAAGCATTGCAAAATGGATTCTAATTCCCTTTATTTAACTTTGTTTTTTAGGAAGCAGATGATGAAATGAAAGAACTTCAAAAAGAAATCAAGGAATCCACCATTAGTTCAGGTTAAATCGTCATTGACATTGTAACTATATACTATGCAGTTCAGCTTCAGTTCAGCGATTTGATAAGTTGCATTCAGGCTGATTCAAGTAGTAAACCGACAATACATGTGTAGATCTGACTCTGACAGTGAAATATTGTTAAAATTGAGATCTTGTGAGATAAATGATTGGCAAACCCTTATTTCTTCAATCAAACCGTCACACGACGCTTCTTGAAGTCTGAAGGAGGGGAGCTTTCACCATTCTCCCTCGCGGGCACTTTAAACGCAGGCTCCTTTTTTTTCGATAAATTTGAAAAGCTACTCTCGAGCTTATTCAGTATAGACCGCGAGCGATCGTCTTTCTTTCCTCAGAGCCACTCGTAGCGTGGCCTCGAACTTGGACAATTCCACCGAAAAACCATTACAAAACAACATTGGAAGAGAGAAAGACAGGTATCAGAGCAGTGAGACCCAAGTTGAGTGCCCTTGATTGTAGTAAACCTACACTTCTTGCAAGTATTGTGTAGATCTAACACTAAAAAGTGAAAGGGTTTATTCACATTAATTAAGATCCCGTGAAATACATGTCTGAATGTATACACTTCTTTTAGAAATTTTACCACGTGCGCAACAAAAAGAAGACATTCTCCTTTCCGTCCATGTACCAACGAGTTTGGATGCTGTATCGGTAAGTCAGTTATATTCCTGGCATTTCTTAAGATTATTATTTACATTGTTGTCATTAAATTGTGTTGTATGCTAGCAATTTGTTTGTTGAGTCGTTTAAAAGTTACACCACTGATTCTCTATAATATAATGTAAGGAAGATTACAGAGATTAAACAAAACAAATGTTTGATGTGGCACAGTTTTCAAACTTGATGGTCTTTTCTATTTGTAGCTAGCTATTTGTAGCTACTTTACCTGTTATAGTTTAACTATCTGAAAGCTCACTAAAAATCCAAGTTATGCACTAGACAGGACTGTGGAATAAGTATGAGCAGAAACATTCATTTGCACTCAATAATTTGTTCTTAATAACAGATTTGAATTTAGATTTGGAACAATTTGAATACTTTGACATGGTAAGACCAACACTACAGAACTAGACTGCATTGAGCTCCATTCGGGGTCTGTTTATGTGAAGGGAAGCGGGCGGGGGGGGATGGGGTGCCCCAAGTAGGTGGGTGGGGTAAAAAATAACCCGCGTTTTCATGCAACCTTATAACCGTACCATCACGGGCTGCACGTTCTCAACATTATTGAACAGTCGCTAAGAAAGTAAACAAAAATGATCGTGGGCAAACGCCGTGTCAGTTTGGTGGTTAATGCTATTCTAAACTCACTTGCTGCTCTTACTGCTGCCTTTAGTGCTCTGGGTTTTAGTTGTCACTTTTAATGATGCAAAGCAACCGCCAAAAGAGAGGTTTGGGCGAATTTGATGTTACATGAACCCGACTCCGGCTAGGCGGGTTACCCCACCTTGAAACGTTTACATGGCAAAATTTGACCCCGACAGAAGAGGGTTATCCGGTCTGGTAGACCGGGCAATCCGCCTCGCTGGGTCACCCCACCTATCGTGTAACCGTATAAAAAATGAAATGGAAGATTATATGTATATGGACAGGCGGGCTACTCCACCTAAGCGGGTTACCTCACTTACCTGGGTTCACCACCTCCATATAAACTGGTCATTGGATTTTGCTTGAGGAAGTCACTCGCGGTGCTCACTGCCAGCGTTTACGGTTAAGTGGGCAACACAAACGTACAACTTGTTCAGCAACATTGCTGCAAAACTGGTTGAAAAAATGTTACAAACCTCTCTTGCAACAAATCAGGTCGTACAGGCTGCGAGAAGTTGTTGCAGAAAGTAGAGAGGAGTTCTACCTTTTACAGCGAAATCTGTACATGTTGCGCGTTTTACTGGCCCAAGGCCAGCAAACGTGACATAACTTAACTCCCTGTATGGCGTGAATCCCACGTAATTTTATCCAATCAGGAGTCAGTGTTCACGCAACATGCGACAAACTGATTTGTTGTAACACAGTTTTGATGTAGGTGGTAAAACGCGCAACATCGCTATTGAACTCGTTTTGCAGCAATGTTTCCAAACAAGTTGCACGTTTTTGTTGCCCGTTTTGCCGTAGCTTTAGGTTTCGTTACGTCATGTTACGTTATTACGTGTTATTTGATTTTGTGTTGTTACCAGACTGACGTTTCATTTTCTTGTCAACAGCAAAGTATGATGGATGACGGTGATGATGAAACGTTCCCATCAATCACAGTTACGGTAAGGAAACCCTTAGGTTACCAAATAACTTTCTTAAAGTCTCGAAAAACCCTCCGGCCAGGTCTTTTTGTCACAAATGAAAGGCCAGCTTCGTCACAGTTATTATTTTTTTTGTGCCAGTGACGCCATGCAACAAGACGCAGCTGAAAGCTATCTAAGCAAAATTACCAATAAACGCCGCCCTCGAATAAACGCCGCACCTAATCAGAAGAATGGGGCGTTTACTCGAGGATAATAAGAAAAACCTCGTTCAACTCGGTATTTTACACCATCCACATATTTACGATGGTATCTCAGCAAAATAAGAGAGACAATGGAACCTTTAAATTACATAATATGTACAAACGATTTACAGTAACTGTTGTCAGTTATTGCAAAAAAAGAGATTTCGGAAATAAACGCTAAAAGTTTAATATACGCCGCGGCGTTTAAGCGAATCAATACGGTAAGTGTAACGTTAATTTGTGCGTCTTTAATTCCCATTATTTTGGACACACTTCTGACATTCTTGACACCTAAGAAAGAGGAGTATTTTATCAGCGTGGAGATCCGCACGTTGCAGTAAAACTGTCAAGAACCCACGAAGATTGGCTAGATTTCTTCGCTTGATCCCCTTCGTGCGTTTGGTGAAACTACCACGAAAAAGTTTCCATTTCAGATTATACGTTCAACTTTGTCTCTGTTGGCTCAACAAGCTTATTTCCTTTGTAAGCGCCTAGTTAATTTCCTTCATTTTGAAATGTTGACCTTTCTTTCGCGTTGATTTCCTTTATTTGAAAGTCGTTTTCCACTAAATTCGCGTTAATTTCCAATACTTTTATTTCGTGGAGCGGTAATTTCCTATAATAAGGTAATTGTTTCTTTCTTTGCAGGTAACCCTTAAATCACAAGCTCCCAGTCCAATAGAAAATGTGGTTCTCAGCGTCATCTCCTCTCCTCCCATCATGTGCAATAGATCTTCTATAGTGTTCCCAATAATTGGTAAGTAATGCACGGTTAATCCCTTTCTTCTTTTGCTTCCCTCCTCTCCCTCCATCCGTTTCATCCTTCTTTTCTATCTCGTCCCTCAGTTTATTTCTGTTTCTGTTATCCCTATTTTCATTTTTTATTCCTTTTTCCTCCTTCGTCCCCTCCATCTTCCCTACCTCTCTCTTAATTTGTTCCTTTCTTCGTGACGTCCTTTCTTCCTCCCCCTTCCGTCCCCTCCCTCCATTTCTTTCTCCCTCTCTCTTTCCCTCTCTCGTCAGTGGCGGATCCAGACCTCAGATAAGGGGCGGGGGGTGGGGGGAGGAAGCGGTCATCCAGACCCTGAGATAAGGGGGGTGCCCGGTCTCAAAAAAATTCTTTTCGGCCCTTCGGGCCTCAGTCTTGTCTGAAGTTAAGTAATGGGGGGCGGGTCCCCCCCCCCCCCCCCCCCCCCCCCCCCCCCCCCCCGTCCCCCCCCCCCCTTTTTTTTTTTCTCTTCCCCCCCCCCCCCCCCCTCTTCCTCCCTCCCCCCCTCCCTCTCTCCTCTCCCCCCCCCTTTTTTCCTCCCCCCCCCCCCCCTCCCCCTCTTCTTCTTCCCCCCCCCTGTGTCACAACCGCTTCCACATGAGTGCGGTGGGCTGGGTATGCGAGTGCTTACACAGCACCTGAAGATGCGGGTGGGCCCTTCTCTCAAATTCTCTTTTTGCTCCCTCCGGCCCCCCGTTTTTGTCTCGATAACTGATGGGGGGGGCGGCCCCCCCCCCCCCCCCAGGATCCGCCACTGCTCCTGGTACCTCCCTCAATTTCTTCATTTCAGTCTTCCTCCCTTCCTCCCTCTTTCCTCATCCCTCCATGTCTTCCTTCCGTCGTGCCGCCGTTTTTCCTCGATCCGTCTACCCTTAGCATTCTTTTATCCTCCCCTCCTCCCACAATTTCTCTCTTTACTCCTCGTTTCCCCTACCTTCCTCTTCCCCTTTCTTTCCCTCCTCTTTTTTTTTATCATTTCTTTACTTTCATTCTACCTTCCTCAATCCATTCATTTCTCTTCCGTAACTTTCTCCCTCTCAACCTTGCCTCCGCCCTTTCCTTCTCATTATTAGTTTGTTTATCCATAGAATCGTTTTTGTTTTTTACAGGTGACAGAAGTGAACCCGTATCTGCAGAAGTGTCATTTTATTCTCGTGGGGGATCAATCCCAAGTTCTTTAAAAGCGCACATCACAGCCACATATCTTACAAACACTGGTGAGTTATCCTGCTGAATCTGCCGTTACTTTTGTCTTCTGGACGTCAGATACAATGAACCCAGTATTATTAGTTAATGCTGATAACTACAATTTAACTCTTTTCACTGCTAATAGTAGCCAAAAGATAGAAATGCTTATTAATTAAGAGTACTAAGGTAAAGTTCTGCCAAAGAACTGTCATTTGAATGGCAACACCATTCGCCACTTTAGAAACGAGAAAGGGACTGGAGCCGAAATGTTTCCCGCAATTGATTTTGGGATTGTTACTTGGGACGCGCCGGTCAGCTATTGGCCAATTTTTTCCGTCCCTAGTATCAGTCCCAAAAGTCTTTGCAAAAGTTTCGGCTCAGTTTCCTTGTTTCTTTAGTAGCGAAAAGGGTTTCGTCAACAGATTTAGAAGTACTCAGAGTGACAAAAATTCTACTTATATCTTGGTGTAAGGGGGTGTTTACATGAGAAAACTCGCACTAGCGCGAGTTTCGTATCGGCATGACTTTTTGATTTCGTATCGCGTTTACATGATCATGGGTCATTTCATATCTGGGTTATTTGAAGGTACACTTCATGCTGATTAAATACACGTGCGATTCAAAATCGCAAACATTACGCATACGCTACCTGTTCCAGGTCACCGGCAGACCGAATTCACACCGAAGCGGGTGGTCGTATCGCGTTTACATGATACCGTTGCGAGATTTCGTACCGGAGTGAAATTCTCGCCCCGGTACAAGAACTGGGGTGAACTCACGCCGGGGTGACTCGCGCCGGCATTACATTTTGTGGTGGTATCATGCAAACAAATGTAGAGCCATGAGAGGGAACCGGAGTGAACTCGCGCCGGCGCGAAAGTCGCCCTGGTGTCATGTAAACACCCCCTAAGAATGGCAAGATTTGGACAATAACTGCAGATTAAATCCACTGTGCTATTTGTCCTCATCTTTGAAGAAAAGTGACTGCTATTTCCATGACACAGAATCCACCTTTCGAACTAAAATCTATACAAATATTGTACACGTTCTCAAAATATCATAGATGAAACACATCTTTAACATAGTAGAATAAATGTGTAGTCAAAAAAGCTTATTTTACTAACATGTAAAGTTGTGATGGCTTTTTTCAGAGGCTCCTCGAGTCGTTCAAACAGATATCCACTTCCCACTAAGCGTTGTTTGCAAAGCCTGTCCACCTACGAAGAATGCTAACCATAAGGTGAAGATTTATTTCTTTCATTTTATCCATGTTTTACCAGTTAGACAGGTCTGTCACAGAAATTAACTCTTTCACTGCCAAAAGTCAACAAAGTCAACAGTTGGCAAAATTTCCAAATTTTATTTTGTGAAATGTTGAAGAACAAATAGTACCGTGTGAAAGTACTAGCAAAGAGGTCTCATTTGAATGGTTACACATTAGGATTTCGTCCACAGACTCAAAAGTTAGAGCCACCTTACCAGATGCCATCTTGTTCTCTGTACTGAAAGGCTCAACAGCATACGTGTGTGGAGTTGATCTAGCCATTACAGGGCTCAAAATAATGTTCGGCCAGAATGGCGACGTGACTGGCCAGAAACTTCACTCGCCTGTCATGTTGACCGGTCACGCGACATTTCGCGATACCACCATTAGTTGCCATGCGAAATGACGTCAAAGGAACAATTCATAGACGGTCCCCAATAGGGTTCTTCGATCCCGTAATCCCGACCCAAAATTTCGTGCAATCCCCTAATCCCGGGGGTTATTTTTGGCATCCCGCTTCCCGTGTATACTTTCTAGCCCGATTCTGGCCCCGATTTTTCTTTAAAATCCCGAATCCCGAGCTTCAAATAAGGGAAATCCCGGATCCTGAAAAACCCACTGAGGACCCTCTCCATTCTGATGACTCTTCGCTACCCAGATCTGGGTAGTTTTTCTGATAAGTTGAAAATTTGCTTCATCGTTATCACTTTGTTTTCTCGCAGCTTACGATAGATACAAACAAGTCACCAGCAAATCTTGCAGAGATATTTTCTGGTAAGCTATTGTGAAAAATCTTTCTGTTCGCGTATTTCGCTGTACGTTTAGCGCTACTTTCTTTGAGAGAAAGCAACGGTTTTCGCGCAGTTTTCTAATTTTCTCACTATTGTCTTTTCCAGATATGGTTAATGACGCAGTTATTCCCATGGCTGCAGTTGGTATACAGTATTACGGCGGCCCCGTCGTCACCATCCTGGCGTCTAAAACTTCACGTAGGTGTTACGGACGTGTCCTATTGTTTCCCCTTGAAACGATTAACCGCCCCCGCCCCACCCCCTTCACCCTAGCCGCAAATAGCATTCAGTCATTGAACAATGTTCGTCCAAAATTTGCACTTCCTAATACAATTACAAAAACTAAAAATCATTGAAATAGATGTCTGACAACATTTCTAGTTTGCCTTATAGCCTGTTCCAGGCGTTCGCTTGGAACAGGCTATTTGCCTTACTGAAACTGTAACCTGGTCAAACAAATGTCTTGCCCCCCCCCCCTCCCCTCCCCTCCCCCTCCTTCTCCTCATGCATTACGTTTGTGGTAGCTTCGTCAGTGGAATATAAAACCAAATTGTTTTGTTATAGAGCGGTTTTGCGATTGACGCGATCGCGAATGGTTTCGTTTTTCAATGTTATGCCTCGCGATTGGCTAAAAAATTTCTGCTCCTTTTTCTCAACCAATCAGAAGTAAAACAACAATTGTCTTCCCGCACTATAAGCTCTTGCTGTTTCTCGTGTTTGGAGCCAATTCTGGGAATTGGCTTTCAGATCCCACTGGTTTATTTTATGACCCTGAGTGTAGTGATATTGGTATTACGACGCACACTGATCTTATGAACAATTTGTATTTTGTCATATTTTTAATTACTCGGAGTCGGTGTAAATAGATTAGCTAATGATCTTATAGCAGAAAGGCGCTTGGAAGAAATGTTCTCATTTAGTAAATATTAATTTTACTGGCAAACGTCGATTCGCCCCTGTTATTTTGATTTACAGCATTGCAAGATATACGTAGTAGATCTTAGTACTGTGACACTCTGAGTAAATTGTTAGCATCACAAGTGTTTAGGTCTTAAGGTAAATTGCGTTGACTTATCCCCATAGAGAGATACAGAATTCAGTGTGATGTGTTTCAAGGAATGTGGCTTATTCTGTGCGAGTTGTGCAAGCGGTTAGAAGCATTTTACAAGAAGAACAAGGTAAAACGAGTGGTTTTTAGGGCTAGTGTCTGATTTACATACACAACCTAAGCACATGTAGGTCCTTCTCGTGTTCGATATATCACTGCTCGGTATTGGGATATCGGACGAAACATTGCCTCCTCTTTAATAATTATATTAGGTCTTGTTGTTTGGATACCAGATGGAGCGCTGTTTTAGGTGTTTGATATGTTACTTCTCAGTGTTGGCTGACATATATACCACTTCTAGGGTTCTGATTATCAGATAAAACATTCGTCCTGTTTGATTTATTAGTTCTCAGTGTTTGGATATCAGATGAAACACTCCATCTCGTGTTTGATAATTATCGGTGTTAGGATATCAGATGAAACACCTCTCCTCGTGTTTGATATATCTGATGAAACACTCCTTCTCGTGTTTGATAATTCTTGGTGTTTGGATATCAGATGAAACACTCCTTCTCGTGTTTGATATATTAGTTCTCGGTGTTTGGATGTCAGATGAAACACTCCTTCTGATGTTTGGATATCTGATGAAACACTCCTTCTCGTGTTTGATATATTATTTCTCGGTGTTTGGACACCAGATGAAACACTCCTCCTCGTGTTTGATATATTAGTTATCGGTGTTTGGATATCAGATGACATGCTCCTTTTTCGTGTTTGATATATAATACTTATCGGTGTTTAGATATCAGATGAAGCAGTGCGTCTCGTGTTTGATATAATATTACATCTCGGTGTTTTTAAACATCGAATGAAGTACTGTATCTCGTGTTTGGCATGCTGCTTCTCGATGTTTGGACATCAGATGAAATGCTCCTTCTCGCGTTGATATATTACCAGTCGATGTTCCGACATCGGACGAAACACAGTGTCTCCTGTCTGATCTATCACGTGACCTTTCGCAGGACTCCGTACAGTTCCGAGCGTCGTTCATGGGACCTTTACCTCTTCAGGAGTATTACGAACTTATAGATGCACACTTCGAGGTACGACTTCATCTTCTTGTTTTTTTCGAGTGAAGGTTGTCATTGTTCTGGCCCCTGTAACTTTCTTTGTATAAGATGACTTGAGCTTATTTTGTAAAAGGCCGTATTCGTATTTTTGGAAACTTCATGTGCAATCCTTTGACTTTCCTAAAGGGCTCCTTTGCGAACGCACGAGGAGATTTAAGGCGAGGTTATGTTGATTTTGTACATTACTTTATTTGCAGCAACGTCGTAATCAGACAAAATACCGCGAGCTGTTAGCACAGCGGGCTCAACAGTTCCGAACTATTCAAAGAAGGCTATTAACGCGGTTCAAAGACAAGACTCCGGCACCCCTTGCAAACCTCGATACTCTGTTGGATGGGACTTATAGACAGGTAACCAAATTAAAAAAAAAATACTGGAGAAAGATGTTTTGTCCTTCAGTGACACAGACGGCTCGGAAGAAAAAGTACGATTACTCCTCATAGGATTCGAATCTGTGGCCTTCTGGGTACTAATCCAGATGTTTTACCACAGAAGACTCGTTTGAGCTTAGTCCATTGAAGTAAATACAAAAAAATAGTTACTTCGTCGGCGAAGTATTTTGAACGGATAAAAATTAACTTTGTCCTGTGAAAAGCGTCGTCCACCCTTTTAACAAGTGCGGCCTGTTAACACCTTTGTGTTAGAGCTGTTCAGCTAATGGGCTTTGCCACGCTATTTTCTATCTTTCCAAAAAGCTAAAACGTGTATTCACGTCAAATAAATTCAAAAGCTAATGGTCCAAGTATACGTTTCTGGGAAACTGCCTACCTACCCCTCCCCTAAGCCAACATTAACACTCACTTCTCACTTAGGGCAAACTGTTGGCTTAGGGGAGGAGGTGGGCAGTTTCCCAAAAACCTACCCCTCTCCTAAGAACCATCATGGATCATTATACGTTTCTGGGAAACTGCCCACCTACCCCTCCCCTAAGCCAACATTTTGGCAAGGATGGACATGGATAGGTTCGATTTCCGCCGTCTCCCAGGTCCGGTTTTTGATTCTCTCTGAAGACAGACTCTCTCTCTCTCTCTTTCGGAGGGATGAGTGCGAGCAGGAGCCGATTACAGAGGCTGGTAATCAAGCTTAAGACATGGATTGAAATTTGACAAATTTAGCCTAAATGCTATGCCTGCAGAAATTGCCAAAAAAATGGTCAGTGTTCCCTGATGAACTTTCTTTGATACCTTTTTCAACTCTACAATAGCATTTTGTGTATGAGTAAAGGGACTTAGTAATAACTTCAGCACAGAATTGACCTAAAACAGCAACATCCTCGTGACATACTGCGTTTAACTTAGAGCAACATTTGCCAGGAGACTGAGTATAGAGTACCTGTGCTTAATTCTCTCCCCAGCTTTTAGCGTTAGGAGAGGCTGAGGAGGACTGTGATCGAGCTATTGAGGCGGCAGCTGCCAATTTATCGTGTGGTACACGACTTGTAAATTTTCTGATCAAGTAAGTTCTATTTTTTCAGTAGTCTGTGACATGAGGGGGTAATTTTAAATCTGTATTTGGCTGTCCTAATCCAGATTTTATGGAAACTCCCCCAAAATCAGATTGCGCGTTTTGTTCACTCTGCGCCTGGGCTTCAACTAATTTTTTACTTCTGCTGTTCGGTGAGCGCACGAGCGAAGCGAGCGCTCGAGAACAACTCCTTTCCTTACCCCCCATCCCCAAACGCTTGTGGTCAATAAATCCCCAGTGGTTATTATTTTCATACACACTCTCGAAGATCTGTAACGAGAAAATAGAGGGTCTGTGAACAGGCTAATTGTTACTACAGTATTCTAAGATATACAGTTTTAAAGATTTTAAAGTCGTCGACATATTCATAGCTGAACTTTTACCTATAATAACTAGCATTACATATCTTCGAAACGCTTATATTGATATTTATATTATATTTTTTTCTTTGAACTTACCTTATGAAGCGAGTTTTAGTATTTAGGTGAAGTTATTATCGGAGCACGTAAGATTAAGTTGGCGCCCCTTAAGAGTATTTCTGTTGGGAAATCAGATTTTTGATGAGCAAAATCAAAAATCTTAGCTTCGCAAATCACTAAGGGTAATTTAACTTGAGCCACCAACGGAACTAAACTTCCGGTTTAGTTGTTCGAAAGGTATATAACACTATCCAATGGAGATATCTCTATCCGTTGAATAGCGCAATTGGTTTTCTTAATACTTATCCGCTTGAAAGTGATTTATCCGGTGGATAGCGCTATCCAACATTTGAACAACTGGGGCCTGAGTGGGTCTGTAAAACGGCGACGAAATCCTTGTTTTGGGTACCCACCTGTGTATCATGATTCGAATACGCGCCCTGATTGGCGTGTTAAAAATCCCATTGTCGATTTGCCAATCATTTTGAAGAGATGTTCGAAACCCATTTCCGGTAATTCGTTGAATCCGATGGGGCTATATCGACGCTACTTCGCAGACGTTACTAACAGGGGTTGGATTACGTCTGCGACGTAGGCTAAAGGTTGATTTCCACTGACGGGTTTTTGGCTACGCACCTTAACGCACGTAAATTTTAATCACGTAAATAAAGTAGAGGCAAGATAAAAAGTGCTGAGCTTAAACGAGAAGTTGAGCGAGGTTCAACTTTAACGCTTACGAGCGACCTTTCATGCATTGCCTCTATTTTATTTGCGAACGTAAATTTTACGCACTCACGTACGTAAAAATTACGCGACACTGGAAATCAACCCTAAGGGTGATGAAGCCAAACTCACGCTTTGCATTCGTATTTTGCAGATTATGGACCAACATGTCAGATAAAGACTTCGAGGTTCTCCAGACCGCCCTCTCACCGGAAGTGTCAGAGTCAGAGGAACAGGTATGTCCTTATTGTTACTGCATACTTAATGTACAAGTTTTCAAGTTTATCTATATTGTTATACCAGAAGGGTAACTTGTCAAGTCGCCTGAAAGTCATCTCGCCCAAAGTTATGTCGCAAATAATTTTGTTAGGTGTAAACAGTCAACGAAATGAAGTTGCGATGATGAGACGTAACAAGCGCGATAAATGTGCGATTTATCTCGTTCTTTAAAGCCTTTAAAGCCTAGTCGGACCAGGATCCGTAGTGGGGGAACTTGAACCGTTTCTACGAATTCAGCTTTAAGAAAATCAATCAAATGAAGCAAATTCGGAATTCTTTTCCTTTTCGCCGCTTTCGGGCCAATAAACTCTTTGCTATCTATTTTCAACGTAATCAGACAGAAAACGATTTTTTTTTTCCATTTTATAATTCGTTTGCTGATAGTCATTCGTTTATAGTCAAACCTTGCAACAGTGCAAAAAAATGTGCATTTTCTAGATTGGGAAAATTAATGACTTTCTTGTGGTGTTGTTGTTGTAGGGCTGGGAAGAGATCACAGATGCGGCAATTACGCACCTATTGCGGACCTGTTTAGCGAAAAGTGCAAAGGATCAGGCCGGTTTGTGAACACCTTTTTTTGTGCCTCAGTTCGTTTAGGTTGAGTCCATTACAAGGAGACAATTCACTTAACAGGGTTCTCTATTTTTCATCGTATTGGATAATGGGCCGGGGGGGGGGAGGAGCACAACTCTATTAGTGTTGTTTCTTTCATGTGCTGATTAATTGATTGATTGATCGATTGATTGATTGATTGATTGATTGATTGATCGATTGATTGATTGATTGATCGCTTGATTGATCGATTGATCGATTGATTGATTGATTGATCGATTGATTGATTGATTGATCGATCGATCGATCGATTGATTGATTGATTGATTGATTGATTGATTGATTGATTGATTGATTGATTGACTTACCACAAATGAAAAAGTGCCCAAAGAAAAACGTGAACTTTTAACAGAAATGAAGACAATAAAATAACTCGATAGAACTAGAGACACATGGCACGCTGTACAGCCAACTCTCACTTAACGGACACCTCAATAAAGGTTAATTTCCACGGAGGCGTTTTTGGCTACGCTCGTTAACGCTCGTAAATTTTAATCACGTAAATAAAATAGAGGTAAGATAAAGAGTGCTGAGCTTAAACGAGAAGTTGAGCGTGGTTCAACTTTTACGCTTACGAGGGACCTTTCATGTATTGCCTCTATTTTATTTGCGAACTTAAATTTTACGCACGTACGCACGTAAAAATTACGCGACACTGGAAATCAACCCTAAGACGGACACTTTCCGAAAACGGACCCCTAGAGTTGGTCCCTGCCTTTCTGTGGTCAACTCTTTCTTCACGGACACCGCTATAAGACGGACACCTAGAGTTGGTCCCTGGCTTTCTTTACTCCTTTCATTTGACTCTCTATCAGATGGAAACCTCTCTAAGGGACACATAGTGCCGGTCCCAAAGTTGTCCTTCTTAGAGAGAGTTGACATTATATGCAAGTGGGTCCGTTATAACGTAATGTGGAACATGAAGTCGAAATTGTGGTGAAAACTTATCGGGGGGTTGTTGTTGGGGGTGGGGGGTGGTGGAGCGAGTTTTTACAGGAAAAACTACCTGAAACCTCACAAAGGGTGGTTTTATTTCTTTGTGCACAGTGGGTGTGTCAGCCATGAAGATCCCAAAAGACACAAGCAAACTAAAGAAACACATAGCACTGATGTGTGATAGACTTAACAAGGGAGGAAAGCTGGATCTGTCATCACAGACTGGTGAACCCCCTGTACAACAACAGCAACAAAAGGCAGTCGCCCCCCTGGAACCTCTCAGTGAGATGCAGGAGGAAGAAGATGAGACTGGTTAGTGCAGGGGGACTGTAATTTGTCTTTCCACAAAACAGCTACTAGCTCTTGTTTGCTAAGTGCTGGTACGTTCATGGGGCCAGTTACATAAAAGCTAACGTCAGACGTTAGCTATTACACCCGATGTCAAGAACCAGAAATTGAATTGGAATTTGGAAGTGTTGGTTTTTGGGAAAAGCGGAAAACTCTCTCTCCTCCGCAAAGGCTCTCGCTGGGTATCTCAAAAAAATAGCAGTTTAAATGATAAAATAGAAAGCGCCCAGGGGACGATGGGAAGAGGGAAAGGCTTGTCTTTTCTCTTTCCCCTTCCCATCGTGCCCCGCGCGCTCTCTTTTTCTTTCTCCCCAGCCCCCCTTCGACACAAAGAGGCCTCTGCGGAGGAAAGAGGGGAAAACCAGCAGAAGCACTTCTTCTGAGCAAGAATGACACGTCATGACGTATTTCGTTACCTGCGGGATCTAAACTTGGAGTACTTCGTAAAGAAATCGCGATGGATTTTGTTTTCGTTGAAAGCTATAGGATACAATTTTGTTGTAGCCAACTTCGTTTTTGAAGATTTACCAAACTGAATCTTTCCAGCAACAGCGAGGAAGGCATCAGTCTGTCCTGTTTACCTTGGCCTCTGGGCTTAGGGCTGAGAAGACAAAGTGACCCTGACATAAGGAACTGGGACCAAGGTGAAAACGAGGCTGCGGATTCGTATGGGTGCCTCTTTCCTGCCTCCTGTCGGAGTAGGGGAAGGTACACTTCTGGGATATCCCAGCTGTCATTACAATTCTTTTAACGACTAGATCTTATCCACGATACTCGCCATCTTTGCACGTGGTCAAGGACTGATGGGATGAAAATACCACGTGACAGCAATCCTAAATCGCGCGCAAAGATGGTGGGTATCGTGAGTGAGGTCTATTACTGAACTTTGTGATATGTTTCGGTAATTTCCAGATGGTTCGTCCTCCACTACAGAAGAGAACCGCTTATCAGAACTGTCCGACACGGAATCTTTGTCAAGTAGTGGCGGGAAACCACCTTCTCGCTTACCACAGCTCAATCACTCAAAGAAACCTCTCCCAGACTTGAACAAGAGACTGTTAGTGACGCCCGGTTCTGAAGAGGAAAGCATGGTTCTTAAGGGAGTGGGAGCGGCGGCTTCCATAACAAACGGACTGCCCGAAGATCACGAAAGAGCACTGTAACGCAATGCGTCACGTAATTTGTCACGCAATCTATCAATAATCCGACATCGTACGTCACTGTTCCTTTTTCACCTTAAAAGGTTACGAAATTTCTGTGGATTATCACCAAACGTAGCACAATTAGAAGATGGATCGTCACACGATGCAACTGTTTACTACAGATTCAATCTTTTAGCATGCTCAATACGGTTTTTAGCCATACTGAAGTGTTTTAGAATGACATCTACTGACATGTCACGCACCAGTAGAGGCCTAGAGCCTCTTCAGCTCGATTCCAGGATAAATTATGTATAATATGTACAAAGTATTAGCCCGAAATTTTCTTTGTCGTAGTTATGAAAGTTTTCCATCGTTTCTTATTCGATATCCAGAAATCATTTTTCACTGTTAAGTTAAAAAGGTAATAATTATGCTAAATTCGCACTCTTCCATGGGAAAACTGAGCCACCCTTTTAATATAGGAAAATACCCAGCCCTGCCACCAAGATCCCGGTTGCTGTGCTCAAGTCAAGGTTTTTCGGTGACTACTTCCTCCCCTTGCCCCCTCCCCCATCGTTTTCTGTGTCGTCCTCAGTTCAGCTTTCGCGCAGCTGTAATTCTTGCTTCGAGAAACACAACAAAAACCGCCAGCTACGTAGGCTAGTCAATACTGCCTTCACTCACGCGAAAACTTTATGCCCCTGTTAAGTTCGAAAAAGATATCAAACAAATCAAATTTCTCCAGGGAACACCAAGCAATAGCCTCCCCGCAGACGTCCTTTGGGGTTCGTTCGTCACGCATTCATTTCTCCCCCCACGGACGTCTGCTAAACACAGCCGAAATTTACGTTCTTGTCCGTGGGGGAGAAATGAATGCGTGACGAACGAACCCCAAAGGACGTCTGCGGGGAGGCTAACCAACCAAGGCATTGCATTTAACTTAAAAAAATTGACTTATGTTTTCAAGTTTTAATCCATGTCTATCCTTGCCACCCGTAGCAACAGAAAACAGTTCCAATGCCTATACATAGTCGTTAACATTACAATACTGGACCTTGATTGATGCGAAGATACGTTTTAGCTTCCTAACTAGATATCAAATCGCGTGACATACGAGCCCTTGGACTGTCGAAGTCTATCGGGTTCATATGAAGAGGTCTTCAGTCAGCGGTGTACAGAAGATTTGATTTTAGCCTTCATGTTGTAGAGGACTCAGGTGATACCAGGGAGGTTAAGCAATGACGACAACGACGTCGGACTGAAGTGAATTCACATTGTTTCAAAATTCATCGCTCATATTCCATATCGTTCAACTTATCAATGTTGATGAATTTTTCTGGAGTTGATTTCTAAATTAGTGTACCTGTCTTGTGTTTACGTGCTCCAGAAAAGGACGTTTTATTTCGTAGTCGTGCAACGACGGCAATGAAATGTAGCCTACGTACACACGGCACCGGATGAACTTTCCACCGGTTGAAAATTCGTTCGTTGAGGACATTTAGGTTTTCTGTTTACACGGAACCACCCTAACGGTAGGAAAATTTAGACGCGTAGCCGTTTAAAGTTCCGTGTGAACAGGGCGAAAATATGGAACGGTCCCGTGTGACAAAGTGACCGGTCAAATTTTTCAGCCGCTCGAAAATTCGACAAGTGCCCTTTGAACGTAGCCGTAGTGCACCCATTGCTTTTATGACGTTCTCATTGCCGTCGTCGTTGTCGTTGTCGTTGCTTAAGCTCCTTACTGTCACACCACGCCTCGCTATTGCTGGTTTGCACGTGACGTCACGGCGGCCATGTTGGTGGTCAAGAACAAAAGCATTTCTCTCCTCTGGGAACTAAACTCTATTTTCATGTAAATTCTTTGAGGAAATATTCTTTTGTTTTGACCCCCAACATGGCCGCCTTGTCACGTGGTTGCAAACCAAGAATACTGAAATGTTCCGCCCAGTGTGAAGTGAAGATTCAACTTGTTGGAAACGAGTGCTGTACATTGCATAAGGCGTGCTGTCTTAAGCAAGAAATGTCTGTAAAAAGTTTAAATTATAGCTGTTAGTTAAATGTATATTAGTGCTTAAAAAAGACTATTTAATGTACAGTGAAATTATTGATATAGATGTGGAAATCATGTTCGGTATGCATTACGCTTTGTAAAATGTTACTTTCCAGTAGTTTCCTTCAATACGAAATGCTTGTTCGTCTTGCTGTTTAATTATTTTTGCTTCTCTTGACCCCGGTAATCTGGCTTTTACTAGATTGTTTGTGACGGAATCATTGGGCGCTTTTTAATCAACAAAAAGTCCGGTTGGAAATTTCGGAAATTCTATGTGCCCAATGCAACGATACATTCCTGTTGCACAGACCCGATCCCAGCCACCGCGCTTTGTATGCAGGACAGAGAAGAGGGGTACTGGGGACAGCAATGTTGTCAAATGGAGAGGAACATTTCGGTCTGACCGACCGAAATGACCGGACCGGTCAAAGAAGACCACGACCGTGGTGACAAATATCCCGGCCGCATAGGACCAAAATGCCCTGTTCCAACTGAAGTTTTCGGAATTTTGGGCTGAATGGAAAGCGCTCATTCATTTGATTTTTACTAGATCGTGAGCCTTGTTCTTATAATCGACTATGATTACAACTCCTTTAAAGCTCGTGGTCTACTAAAATAGGCAAAATCGTGTAAAAATACCGCAACCCAACTTTTTACTATTCAATTCCAATATTTCGGACGCAATTAAATGTCTAATTTTTGGGTCTGTGGAAGAAAAATTACCATGTGCCCATGCAAATGAAACGTCTTCAACATAGCTGATGTATTGCACTATCGTTTTGCAAAGTCTTATAATAAGATTTGGCGAGAATAAAATCTTAACTGAGTGTTTGGCAATCCAGGAAGTGACAGGGGTAAAGAAAGAAACTACACAACTTTCACTCCTGGGTATGGTTTTTAAGGGAACTTAAGGAATGACGCCGGTGACGGCAACGAGAGCGGCAAAACAACAATACGTTTAGATTAGTAAAACAGCAACTCTAGACATGTATCACTAGACGTAAAACTGCTTAATTTCACGTTTTGATAGAGGACATGAACACAAAGACAATGACTTCCTTTTTTACCGGAATTTCGATACAGTCTTGAAAATTCAACTCCAACAAAAATTTTCTAACATTTGACGAATTGAACGAGATTGTTTCGCTGATACGTGCGAAAGTTCGTGACGTTCCATATGCACGCGCTCGTTGAAGCCCTTAATATTTAGTATTCATAAATGGTACCTTTCAGTAAAGCGAAATTGTAATTAATTCAAAGACATGAGTTGTAACTTGCAAGAGTAGATTCGTCGTGGAAAAGAGTGGAGAGTGGATTACAAGAGTGGATTTGAGAGGACTCAATGGATCGAACATTCGCGGCTGCAGGACACAAATGCTACCAGGTACCTATCGAGGAACATTGATCTGACATTCGTTATATTATTGATTTATGCGTTCTCGTAGTGATATTTGTACTTTAATTCTACTTTAGGTTTCGAAGGCGTTGTAATGCATCTTTGAGAACGGTAATGAACATAGTGGATTGCAGCTAGCGAAACAGAGATGGAATAGGCGCGATAAAGTTTGAAGCAGCGCGTATTTTAATACTTTTTAAGTGACGTTTTCGTAGTCGTCGCCGTCGTTGTTGCTTAAAGCAGCTGAAGCAACGACTACGGCAACGACAACGGCAAAAAAGCGGGAAAAAGCAAAAGGTTAGACAACTTTGCACGTGCAAGACGCTTTTTTGTATATTTCTTGACCGTCGTTGCACGACTACGACGTGAAACTCCCTGATGTCACGTTTTAGAGCGGTTTTCATTTGAGTGTCGAAAAGTAATTGGTTTTGCACTTTCTACACGATGCGATTGGCTTAAAAGATTCGCGCCACCTTTTCATCCAATCAGAAGTAAAACCAAAGCCAATTGTGACGCGCTCGCATGCATTTTCCCGCGCTTTGCGTCAGCCACATGTAATTACTTCGAGTTTTGATTGGTTCAATGTATTGTCTGTGTCCTATGTGATTGGCCAGAGTAATTACTTTGGTTTTGGTTTTACGACACTCAAACGAAAACCACTCTATGTAGAACGTGAACTCAAGACAACCGTTTTCTTTTTGTCTTTTTCTTCACTCAGAATCAGACTATTAGAATTTAACTCCAGAAAAATTGGTGAACATATCACACATTGAACGAGATGGAGTATTAACCAGCGATGAAAGAGACTCTTTTTAAGTGGCGTTTTCGTTGTCGTCACCGTCGTGATTGCTTAAGCTTCGAAGGAACCACTCAAACAAAGGCGACTGAAGATAACTTTGTGATGTTCTTACATGTGTTCGTTTGTTTATTAGCTTGCGTAGCACGCGCATGACAAATATGGAACACTGACAAAAACCTAAGGAGCGGTGCCCGTGAGGTAAGAGAAAGCGCGCGTGTTCTCCTCTCCCACGTGCATCGTATGGCTAATCTCGAGTCCCTAATTTCTTATCTGCCTGTTACGCAGACGGTTGTTTAGGAGGACGTTGCAACAAGAGTTGTTCTGTACATGGTAGCTTTAAAATTCGAGACTATATTTATATGTACAATTTAAGAGATTTTTTTTCAGTTCTTTTCTAACGAGTGTTTTCTTGCAGTACTAAATTCCATCTCTCGGGGTACTGCTGCCGTTTTGATTCTTGGCGGGTTGTAGGGACGTCGTTCAGTTGAAAGTCTACTTTTCTAAAATCCGTTCATTTCCTGTCGTCGAGCTTGTCTTGTATCAATTAAATAGGCCTCTTGAGTTCTACATGAGCAGGGTAAATTCTATGTGACTGGGTCTACTCCTAACCAATACTTCTTGTACTTTCAGGCTAGCTCTATCTTTCCTTGTCCCTGTTTAGCTTTCTTATTAAGAAGCGACTTCGTTTGGACACAGCGGCAAGGCGTAGTTTACCCTGGATTGGACCCAGCTGCGGAGAAAGCCAAACAGGAAAGACAAACTAAACGAGAGTTGCTGCTGAAGATTTATTTCTAATGATATGCTAGAGCGGGTGACGTGGCTGGGACGCACCGAAAAGGAAATAAAGGACTTTATAGATTACTGAAGGGTCAGAACAGCACAACCCACAGTTTGAGAGGGAAACTTCAAATAGGGTTAAAGGTTAGTTATCATCTTTTAATATTTTATAGACGGTCAATCGGGTGATATGAAAATAAAAAAATAAATTAAAATAACTTAGAGACTAATGTACCCGGTCCTGGTTGTTGAAACATTGAGTAGCGCTGTCCACCAGATAAATTACTATCCCGTGGATAAGTACTTAGGGTAGCCTGCATAACAGGCACTTTATGGGCCAAGCGACGCGAACGCGGTTTTTTGCGCGAAGCGCGAGACGAGGGGAGTGGAAAAATAAATGCGGCGTTCGCCTCGCGTGGTTCATAAAGCGCCTGTTATGCCGGCTATACTTAGGGAAACCAATATTGCGTTATTCACTAGATGGAAATTTGTCCAGTGCGTGGATATCTATAAATTTCAAACAACTGAGCCCTGTATGATAAGGGCATATAAATCCGATAAATGCGCGCAAACGAACAAACAAAACAAATTTTTGAATACAGGCTGCAGCGCAACTGACGGCCGTCAGTAGCAATGTTTTGCACTAATGTCTTTGCAGAGTAATTTCTAAATATGCATTAAATTCAGGAATCGAATGCGAACCCATTTTCTGACAGTTAGCGGTTAAAGTGCTTTTAGAAAGCATAAAACTTCGTCTTCTTAAGACTTTCCCAAAAGCGGTGGAGAAGGGTAGTGGGTTAAAGGTATATTAAGTTTAAAATGTCAAATAGGAAGGTAGCTTACTGAATTTTATTCGCTTTGAATATGCCAGAGTGTTCACAATAGGACGCTTGCTTGGCCCCTGTATGGAATTCAAGCGTTAAGCACGGTTTTAAAAATGTTATCTCTGTTTAAATATCAAAGTTTCACGTCTGTTTGGGATTGTGAGAGCTAGCGTTATGCGTTTAAAGGCCAGCAACTGTTTTGTTTGGAGGTGATGTATCTTTGTTTAACTGCTAAATTAAGACGTTAGAAGGTCCGTATGTGACATACGTAGTGATGAATGCTTGGTAATTGGTCAACGGTACCTCAATCTCATTAGCTCTTCAAGAATTTAAAGATCAAGAACGTCTATGTTAGTTGAGCTAGATTACCAACAATGAGAATGATATTTGACATGTTTTGATAATATTAGTAATTTACACAGACCCCACAGGTTTAATTTATAGCTACCTCCAATATCTTCACATATTTATATCCGAAAAATAAGCTTTAATTTTCAACGCGCTGTTGTTATTTGAGACGCAGAAGTATATTTGTTAGTGGTTACAACTTGCGTTATTGCTTTGTGCATAAATTACTTCAAGGTTACTTAACGTTTGAATTATAGAATGAAAATTAGAGCGAATATTAAAGGTATTATTCTGTTAGTCAAGTAAAGGAATTTAAAACTGAATTATTATTAAAAGTATACCAAACCAGTGAATAATGTTAATAGTGCACGGTGATTGCTTAAAATCATGATTATTGCATCAATAGAGTTAAATTATTGTGTTCAATTCTCTTACCTGCGGGGGACAATCCCACAGCTGAACGCACTTTGTCCGTTGGCTGTTCCAAACAGTGCCCGCGGGGCATCGACATCCGGGCACGCAAGAACTGCTGGGGCACGGGACGCTTATATCAAATCTGTTGTCGCACGTCCGCTGACAGGAAGGAACGCAGTCGTCGAACACAGATCCTCCTTTGCAGGAAACTCCTTACAACCGGGAAAATAGACACTTAATGACTGTTGACTGCTGACCTGATGCACATATGCATGAAATTAAACGCTGCCTTTTATGAGGGTCAAAGAAAAGGGATGAAGTAAAAAAGGAGAGACCAGCTCCAGGTGACTATTTTAGTATAAGGTGTTCGTATTATGGAGACTGTTCGTCCAAAGGGGGAGGGAGTGGGTACTACTCGAGCTTATATTAGTCTTTGAGCTTAGAATTTCATTTAAAAAAAAGGAATCAAGAAATGATCCTGTAGTTTTCTGCACTTGCAGCTCAAGATTTCATCTACAAACTAAACCCGGGAGCCCCCTTTTTCAGCATAATAAACAGTACCACAGGGAAGTAATGCTCAGTAGCTTTCATTTGAACGGTCACACTATAGGATTTCATCCACAGACTCATTGGTTAGAACCACCTTGTGCAGCATAATAAACAGCACCAAAGGAAAGTATTGCTCAGTAGCTTTCATTTAAATGGTCACACTTCAGGGTCTCGTACGCAGATGTAAAATGGAGAATTATTTTGCACATCATTGAACAGATAAGACAGCACTCCAAGAAAACAATGCTTAGATTAATAGATTTTGCTGGAAATTAATGGTCAACGTACACACTAGGATAGCTTTTCCTGGTGTCTTTATTTTTCTCCGACATAGACACCGTGAGCACAAAATACCCGATGTATATAATGTCAAAGTGTGAGCTTGATGAAATTTTTCTCTGGTATTAATTAGTTCAAATGCAGTAGCCTTGACTAACACGAAGGGAATAATACGTTCTGATTTGGTACAGTAAGTCAATTGCTGTCTGCAATTTGTCCAACTTTTAGATATTCACTGGTTTGGTATATACCGTATTTTTTTTTTAATTAAACGCCCCCGACCTTTATTAAGTATTAAAGTCAATCTGACCGTCGTTGTTTGAAACTGCAGCTTATTTGCGTTAGTGCGACAGTCGTCAGAGTCTTACATCTTACCCTTGACCAAACTAAGACTAGAAAAGGCTAATGGAGAAGAGAGAAGGTTACAAATTGACTTTGTGAGTAAAGTTAATTTCGATAGCTTACCACAAGTATTTCTTCGTCCCCAGTTGATCGTCACTCCTTCGCGCCTGCATAAGCGAGCGTAAGCCATCAGCGCTTCACATTCACATCTTCTCCCTGAACATTGGCAAACGTCCGAGATGCAGGACGTATAATAAAGGTGTGGCTTCACCTTCTTGTGGCAGTTTGCGAACTGTTTTTTGATCGGCCAGCAGCGTTTATGTGCTCGCCAGTAAACTCTTGGACGGTTGGAGCACTTCGACGTGATGGAATCCCTCGGTTCTGATGGTAGCTTCTCACAGCCGGGATTTCGTCTTCCTAACGACCAGCCTTCGCCAAATTCCTGAGCAGAGATGGCGCGCCTGCCATTCCTCAACATAAAGTCATCTTTAGAATCCCCGTTAAAATTGCCGCAAAGACCGCAGACCTTGCCCATGAAGCTCTTTGGTACATGAATCTCGATAAAACCATTGCCATCCCACTGCACCTGTACGCAAGAAAGGGTCAGTATCGTAAAACCATATTCAAACTCAGTCATTGCATTGGTCAAAGTAGTTACCCTGGTCAACACCTTGGCCACGAATCTATTCGTTGCCTGGCCGGCTACCAGCCAAATAAACGCATTCTTGAGTTCGCATTAAAATGAACCACCAGCCGTGACGGTCCGAAGCATTAATGGAGCGGGAGCCAATGGCAGGAAAAGAATGTGAACCCTAGAAGGACTCCATGTTCTTCCCTTCCTTGAAAACAGCAGCTCAGGGACGTCTGAATTGGGTTAGGGCAGGGAAATTCAAATGTACAATAACATGCATTTTGATTTCAAATAGGGTAAGGGTTTTAGAATACCACGTAACTAGCAACCGGTACGCGGTTACGCACGTGCGTGTTTCATATTCGCAAAAGAGATTGAGACCAATAGTGTCACAATTGTCTGCGCAAATTCTTAGGACAAGCATGTTTGTCTGTACAAAATCTTCGTGCAACCATGTTCACAACTCATGGTCCACCGATCCAACCGACCCTCGAGGAAGAATATATCCTCTTTGTTTACCCTCCAAAAAATAGTCAAGCTGCGCCCCTGAATTAATTCTCAAACCCAACTCGAATTTATCCAGCACAGAGCCTGAAGGGTCAAGCAAATCATAGTTGTGGTTTTATTTGTAACTGAAAAAAAATGGCATGCCCTGACCTGTAAACCAATCTGCGAGACCAGCGTTATCGTGAAACTCCCCTTGATTATCTGAAAAGAAGGTAGATGATAGTAGGGGAGGTCTACTGTCGTCTTGTTAACTTTCACTTGCAAGTCCTTGTGCAACACAATTACTGAACCTCCCATATGGATCGTGAGGGCCTTGGACCAAGCGTATACGTTAGAGTATCGTCGTTCATTGCGCATGCGTATGGTAAATTGATCGCTGACACAGTCTGACGTCAGCTGGTAGCGGCAGGTACCGTGAAAGTTGAACATTTGTCTGTCAAATGTTTGGTAGTGTGGGTCCCCGTATGAAGTACAAACACCACTTTCTGAAAAAAAAATGAGAAAAAAAAAATGGGTAAAACTGAGTATTTTTTTCTTTTATTATCTGAGTTCTGTTTCTTTCTAGCCTTACCCGAGGTAAGAATTTGATTTCGTTCGGTTTCCGTGTGATGCACCTGCTTGATTATCGGCAATCCTAAATTGGGCGTTTTCCCAAAGTCAGAAATGGCCGTTTTTACCGATAATTTTGATAATGAAATATTACTATTTTCTCGAAACATTAATTAAATCCATCACTGGCGTGCACACTATTTAAGATTAAACTCATCTGGCTGGATAGTCCTTGTTAATAGTTGAATTATCCCAACGACTGGACTGGTCTGGTCAGCCATTTCTTACAGGCGTCTAGCCTAGTGCCTAGGCCTCATTATTTTGCGTGGTCTATGCGTTCCGGGTCACGTGGTCCTAGCAAGTTTTCATCCGGCCGTTCGTCTTAAGCAGTCACCAAAATGAATTGACCAAGAACAGGGACCAGGCATGTAAGCGCCCTAAGAAAGCGATTGCTCGAATCAGTGAGTCTGCGCGAACTGCCCTGGGGCGAATCGGCCAGATACCCCCAAAACGTGTAAGTACCATGTTTTCACAGGCCGGCTCACTCCAAGACACGTTGAAGACACTTACAGTCGCAATTTTTCCGCGCGCATGAGTGCGCATCGGGAGCATGAAAATTATTTCCTCAAAAATATCAACAGTGATGGTTTGGTGTGTATTTCCTGCTGATCTGTTTCTGGCAGAGATCGATCAAAGAAATTGAACTGACTAAAAACGCACGTGATACAAAAACATTAGCCGAAATTTCACATGCTCGGCGTTGCAATACACTGGAATCTACGAAAAAGATGACATTGTTTCATCTTAGATCAGTAATTTTAAAAACAGTGTAATGCGTAAACTATTTAGCATATAATTGTAACGAATGATTTTAGCTTAGTGTTTATTGATGCTTGTAACTTAAGGTAATTACTCTTTGTAAATTATCTAAGAATTGCCCATTCGGGAGAGGTAATAAAGTTATTGTATTGTATTGTATGACAACACGGCAATAGAGTAGATAATAACCCTGTTTACATAACATCCTCAGGGATCCACCAGAATTAGGAAACTTAGGCTAAACCGGTCCACATGAACCCAGATACTTTTGAAAGTGTATACTTTTTTACAGCAATCCGGTCAGCGAAACCGCATTGCCTCGAAACTCCTTTCCAGGGCCGGTTTAAGGCCCCTCCACATGAATCCAGATAATATATGCGGTTTCTAAAATGTCTGGATTCGTCCGCGTATGACCTCATTCTGCTTTGAACGCTACTTACCCTCGATGCATTGTGGGCAGCACGCACCGGGAACTTGTCCTGGTTTCTTGCCCTTCAAAAACGAAAACAAACAATTTCATTGACATAATAATGTTGATACTTTTCCCCTGTTTTCTACTCTGTTTATGAGATATTATGAAGAGCTACTCTTAAAATGTTTCTTCCCTTATTTTCTGTAGAATGATTAAAGCTTGTAACAAGGAGGCTAATTAAAAATTAAAAAAAATTGTCGGGTCCCAATTTCTGCGAGTTTTGCGATTTTTTCAGCGATCCGCAAAAAAGAAGTTATCTTAAAAGAAAATTTTCCCAAACATTTTTCTCGCAAAAATTTACTCTAGAGTCAATATTCTGTAACTTAAATTCGGTGCACAAAAATGCAGTACCAAGAAATCGTGTCTGTTCAATTACAACTTGTCTCTAATTCGGCTTCTGGTCTCTTTCATTCAGAACAGGTATTGTTTAAAAACATGTATTTCCATTGCAATCAAATACGGTAGTTCCCGCAAACATTTCGTGTCACACGATGAGCGCCAGAAAGTAGCCTGGGATCCAAAAGGAGAGGCTACCAAGTTAGTTGGAAATCAAAATGGCGGACCGAATTTGTTGAAAGCAACATGTTCTGCCGGGTTCTTTTTCAGTTTTTGGCCGTCTTTAGGCGAAACTGAAGACGTCGAAGGACGGGACACCCGAGATTTGAGGATCGAAAGGGAACAAAACAGGAAACATGAATCTTCGATGGATAATTTCTCATTCAAATGTGATGGAAATAAAAACCGCGCGCTTATCGATTCTCGATGATATCTTGTGTCACCGTTCATTCGATGCATTTGGTTAAGAACTAGCTTTTGGCTGTCAAGGTAAGTGAAAAGATGGATTAAAACTAAGTACCTTATCCTTTCGTTAATGGTTTAGTTTAGAGGCTAGGTTAAATTTCACTAAAAAGCTCATTTTAAGCTTATAGCGGCAATCTGCAGAATACGGAATGGCCACCGAATGACCTATGTCCATGAAGCTAAGTGACTACGGTTAGGAAACTGAGTTAATTGAGTTCCAGCTAGGTCATTATACAGGCAAGCTGGAACTTGATTCATTCAGTTCCTAATCCTAATCACTAAGCTTCAGGCAGTGATTGCTCAAACATTGGATAACGCTATCCAATGGATAAATCACTGTCTATAGCGTTATCCACAGGAAATCCAATGGAATACAGTCAAATCCAGTGGATTGTATCATCCAACTTTTGAATAACTGCCCCTTGAGTCGTGCAGCATTGGGTAGACATTTGGCCTTCTGAAAAATACCCTTAGCTGCGGCTAATCCCTGTTACACAATTTTGAGCCTCAAAACAAAGTAATCTGGCTATCAGTCACTCTGTGTCATCAGTGGGAATTGGGGAAAGGAATCTGGAAAGGTGGGTGTGAGGGAGGGGAGGGAGAGTCAGGACTGTGATGAGGGGTAGACCAATATTAATTTTTCAAGAGAAAATCTGCCCTGCTTTATAGCATTTACAAAGGATACATTCTTTGCTTTATTTGAGGGGTGCTATGTATGCCCAGGGCTTGGGGTAGTGCCATATTATGGGCTGTATAGGTATGTGCCACTGTGAAGGGTATGGTTTTCAAGCAGTTTAGTCCGGGATAGGCCATAGAAATCAGATATTTTAGGTCTAGAATAGGGTATGATTTTCCAGGAAACTGATCAATGTTGGTTGAAGATTTTAACATAGCCTATAGCTGAGCCGGGAATTGACGCTCAAAGGATGAAATCGACAAATTTGAATTTAGCTGCAACTCAGTTTGATAGTAACGTGGGCATCCACCTCACTAGTTTCTGGGAAGTAGCTACTCTAGGATCGGAAGAGATTTTGAATGTACAGGGTAGCAAAATTCAGCTGAAGTAAGTCTAGTATAGTCTAAGGGTTCTGCGGTCCTAGCGGCACATCCCCACCCAAACTTTCTTGCGTTACTCCTCCCATACCCCTGCCCCCTGCCCCTCCCTGGGCTGTGTATGTACATGTATGTAAGGGGTGGTGGGCAGTTAAACATTTTGTCACTGTTAACCACTGGATGCAAACCAGTGCTGCTTCGCATTAACTTAAATGAAGTTAAATTGTATCAAATGGCCTAAAAATATCTGTGCCTGAGTCTCTTACCTTTGGACATTTGAGTGATCCTGGAGAACATTTCTGAGGCTCACATGTTACTGTGGTATTTTTACAGTGGCATATTTGACAACCCTCTATGAACCATGATTCATTATTCTGTAACAAAAGACGAAATTGCCAAAGATTAAAAATTATCCTGGATTTCATTCTACAAAAGTATACTGATTTGTAGTACTGTCACCAGCCTTGAAAAGGGCCATTTCTGGTGGCTAAAAGTCATTAAGAATGACAGGAACCAACTCATTTTAAGGACATGTCTGTCAAACAGAGGTTTTCATAAAAGGGGCAACAGTCATGCTACAGTATTTGCTGTCTCTGTAAATGCAAAAGCACATCCCCTCACCTACTGAACTCCAAAAATTGTTGTCCAGTTTTGTTATTTAAGACTATATTTTGGTATTGAAACTGTTTTTTTGTTGTGTGTTGATGGCGTGGATGGACTTGGATTGATATTTGAAATAATGATGATGATGATGATGATGATGATGATGATGATGATGATGATGATGATATTAATAATAATGGTGTCAATATTTTCAAGTCTTAAGTGCTATACCTGAAAATCACCAAAACCTTTATGGTTTGTGCTCCGAATGAAAATTGTTGAGCAAAGGAATAATAGTCTCTTAACCCTTTAAATCCCAAGATCTGTGACCAACATCAATTTTCTCCTAACACTATAGGTATATTAATCAAGTAGAAAGGTTATGAGAATTAATAAATGGTCACTCAAGGAAATTTGCTTTGATCTTTTCACAAATTCTCTCAACCAATTTTTCAAGAAATGTTTGGAGGCCAGTCTGGAGAATTTGTATCTTGATCGTGGTGCTTAAAGGGTTAAAGAGGGAGAGTCATCTAGGTTTGTTTACTTTCTAAAGTTGGGTATAAAATGGAGTTTAGTTTCTTGCAGAGCAAGAGTCACAGTCTGTAATAAAGAGGTTTCCTGCAGTCACAGTTCAAGGATTTCTGCATGGAGAAGGTCAGCCGTCACTGGATAAAATGGTGGAAAACCCGCTAGGATGACAGACCTAAACCAGGTAACAGCTACTTAGAGTCAATGCATGTTATGTTCAATGTACTGTTTAGGCTACTAGTGTGGTCTTTTTTGTTTGAAATTGTGGATTGTTATTTGGGGTTTGACAAGCTTCGATGTTGTTTTAGACACTGACGCCAGTCAAAGTACTCCCCAGGGCCAGTCATATGAAAGCTAAAATGAGATATAATGTCATTGGATAACAATATTATAACTATTATTATTATATAGCTGGAAATTTTTTCCCCAACAGCATGAGCTCTCATCAGTTACTTAAAGGTCACATAACATCTAACAATGAAACTCCACCTTGGGAAACATTGAGATTTTAAGGAAACAAAATTAACTGTTTTTTGTTAGCATCTTTCATTGAATTGCAGTGTAAACAGACATTAGTTGTTTTGTACTTTAACATCATGATTTATGCAGCTGTCTCTGGGCTATAAAACCAGCACTTAATTAAAATGCCATAAATAAATGAAGCTGTTTATAACATTAGAGAGTCTTGCATAAGGGGGTAAAAATAATAAGTATAGAAAACTATGGCATCATTGAACAGTATAATTTTTTTTTGTCAAGTACTTGTTGTCTTTTTCATTTTAACTGGTTTTTGTGAATGTACATGTATTAGTAAGATCCGGGATGTCTTGGGCCTTGTCGGCTTATTTCTCGCAACTGTGTTAAATCCTAAGTCTTGCAAAGTAAAGCTGTAATATTTTGTACTTGAGACTTCAAGTACTTCGATTTTCTTTTTGGCAATATTAGCACCATTTTGGTGACCAATTTAAGCATTATACGGTGGGGCTGGTGGTGGTGGTACAGTAGAACCGCGGTAACTCAAACTTTAAAGGGAAACGAAAAATAGTTCGAGTTAGCAAAGAATTCGAGTTGTCAGGGTAAATTTCAGTGAAATTTGTATCCGAGTTCAACGTATCGAGGTTCTACCGTATTTACAAACTGCAGCTTAAGTTAATGGCATACAATGATTCATACATGTATCTCAATTTGTCATACCTTGAATGTTCTTCTTTGATGAGTACATGGTGTTGATTCTGCAAAGAAGAGAATACAAATAAACATAGTTCTTTGCATTTGCTTTTCTTGTTACACTGTTATAGTCTGTGCGTGAATCTTTCATTAAGTTAAGTTAATTCCCCTATTACTTCATAGTTCTTTGGTAGTTCCTATGTTGAAACTTACTTATTATTTGATTATAAAAAAAAGGATTTTGATGAATGATTATAGTGGAAACTTCAATCTTTAGTAGTTAGATCTTCCTTGTCTTTTAATCCCCTTTATCGTTCATTTATTTTAGTGTGTACTAGCTACTGTTCTGTACAGATTACAACGTCACTTGTTGCGGAAAGAGTTTAGGCGAAAAGGAACCTGTTATGATAATGCCTTTTGCTTGAGACTTCTTTTTTTGGTGATTTCTTGAAACTCTAGCTTTTGATTCTGTAATCGAAATTGAAGTTGCAGAGTAGCTCTCTCAAATAGTTTATTTGTTCGTATTTTGTTAGCGTTTTACGCATCAAATTCTACCCTTTTTCAACCAGTAGCTGAATGTTTTTCCACCTACGTATTTTTATCCTTTAAATTTTTAATTTCCTTTCAAAAATTTCGACTTATAGCAGTACAGTAAAACCCTCCTTTACGGACACCCGCTTAACACGGACACCCCGTTATCACAGACGGTTTTCCTTGTTCCTGGGGAATTCCTTTACATTTTCTCTAAACTCAACCCGCTTAATACGGACACATTCCATGGCCCCCCCTGTGTCCTTATTAATGGGGTTTGACTGTAGGTTACTGCAGGGCGGGACTACGGAAACTGTCGGATTTAGTGGGGTGTTTGCACCAGCCCCCGCCCTCCCTGCTTGTTCCTCGGGGCTCAGGGCGTTAATCCCAGAAACAATCTGTCAAGATTAACGGTAAATATAAAACGATTTTTCTCACCTAAGTCTTGAAAACCTATTCCGAAGTAGTTATAGTCGATGTTTTTCATAATTATTGTATTTACTCTTCTAATTCCCTTTATATCCATATCAGCCAGTTTATAAGTTAAATTTTAAACTATAGACTATCTTTTAGTCTATACTATTATCTTCTGATTTATCGACTATTCAACGTGGGTTTGTTCCTAGGCTTTCCTAGCATCGAATGGTCGAGACATATTGGCGTCTTTTAATTCAAAGGCTTTTTGTTCGAGCTGAGCACAGTGTATGCCCTATCAACAGTATTACCCCTCTGGCAATCTTTACGCTTATTTCTGTTAATTAAATTTATATCAAGAAAGGAAATATAATGTAGTATAACAACGGATTGTGGATTACAGTATATTCCTTTGATTAACACCATCTTGCGAGAGGTCACGTTCACGCTCTTTTGAACTCCTATTTATATGGCTGGCCCGTGTGGCAGACATGAAACTCAATTCGGCTGTGGCACTCTTTGTTTTTCTGCACAAGGTGGTTGTTGATGAAATCCTTTAGTGTGTCCATTCAAATTAAAGCGACTAAGCAGCACTTTCTTTTTGTTCTTTTTATTATGCTGCACAAGGTGGTTGTAACTTTTGAATTTGTTGATGAAATCCTTTAGTGTGTCCATTCACATTAACGCGACTAACCAGTACTCCCCTGTGGTGCTGTTTATTTTGCTGTACAAGGTGGTTCTTAGTTTTTTGAGTCTCTATTTGTAATTCTGGTTTGACAAATTAAAGATTCCTGACAGTGCATTATTGCATTTAACCCTTTAAGCCCCAAGAGTGATCACCATCAAATTTCTCCTTGTGATACCCATGCTTTGTAAAACAGAGTGGTCATGAGTGGTCATGAGAATTACAGACATGGTGACACAAGATGACTTTGTTTGATATTTATCAACTTCTCCCCACTACTTCTGTAGGAAATGACTAAGGGCAACAAATGAGAATTCAAATTTTGATCTTAGGGTTTAAAGGGTTAATTTTTCATTGTCATCTGTGTAAGCTGGTCCATGAACTTGCATGAAACAAACAATTGATCAATGAGGCTATCGCGAACAAAACCCTACTTATAACTCAGAAGATTTGGAAGTATATCAGAGCTCTGGCTGAGCAAAGAACAGGTTTTTGTAGCTGAGCTCTAATCTGCGGTGTAGGCTTAAACACTTATTAGAAAGCGCCTAACTTTCACTCATTGTTTTCGTGAGTATTTCTACCTGGAGTAAAAGGACGAAAATTGAATTTGCCCATTGTGGACGTTTACCGGTGAAAAACGTAAATGATACTGCCGGTCCAACCTTTGATTTCCCTATCTTTTCCAGCAAAGTCTGTGATAGTTTTAACATCTTTTTATTTTACAATGAAACAGAGAGCTACCAAAAGTAAAAGCTTGCCGTAAGGCCGAAAGGTTAAACCTATAGGATTTCGCAGTGAAAGTAGACAAACTTTTGCAGAATACTTGGTCTATTTAATCCTAAACCTATCGGAAGAATACAGAAGAATTGAATCCCCAAAATCTGTTTTATCTAAATCACGTCCCAGACGAGTGAAGTTTGCCAGAGTTGAAGGCCGTATTGGCGTAGAAAACCGTTCCAAATGACCTTTCCTTATCGTTTATTGTCTGATTGCAATTTTAATTGAATCTCTTTTCTTAATCTTTATTAAAATCCACCTACGACTTTCAACCTCCAAAACTATAAAACCTTTCCAGAAACGTCTCTTCAGCAGAGTTAAACCGTTGAAGTGGCTGAAATACTCGAGTTTTGCGTTTATTTTTATCCTTTGTCGTATCTTGCTATAGTTGCTTTGCTGTCATCGACCTCGGAATTCAGTCATTTGTTATTTGTTTTATTATTATATTGCTCGAAATAGTGAATACAGCCGATGTTTATGTCATCCGTCGAGTTGACGCCACCGGCGGAACGATCAAAGGTTTCCCGCCAAAATTTGGCGGCCTGTTTGTTCGTTACATGGCTTTAAAGCCGTCTGAATGTCGACTAAATGAATTCTGGATAATAGGGGTTTAAGGAGAGAATACCCTTATTAGAAGATTACAAAGTTAAAAGTGTGAGACAGGGTGGTGTTTTGCGCAGTTACAATGATCTACTCTACTATTTTAACATCAGATTTGTTAAGAACAATGTTCGTGTAAATTGAATGTTTTAAACAAATAATATTTGTTTGGGATAATAAGGCTCAAGTAGAAAAACATGTGCTTGTATTTACTCTTGCGTCAACGTGTGATGTATAAACAAACCAAATCTTCAATGTTTAAAAAGTTTTAAAAACAAAGAGATGTTCTCATATCAGACTAATTATCTCCAAATTGTGTTTGAATACTTTGGCGTTTTCAAGAATAGGGAAAACGAGGATGAAAGAGTTTGCTTCAATTCTCGTGTCAGAGTTTTTACTTACAAATCATTATGGCTGGGTAATCAGCTATAAAATGTTTTGGTATCAATTAAGAAAGGATGTTTGTAGTAAATTCGCAGTCTTATTTGTCATTGTCAATTATGTTCGGATTTCCTTGTTTACTTTTTTCAAATTTGCAATGAGAATATCGATTATATCAATAATACTGACTTGAACTATTTAGAATAGTTATATGGCGAGTCAAGTCTGCGGTCTGCGGTTAGTCCTTCCGAAATAATGTTAATCGAATTTATCTAATTAATCGAACTAAGGATTACTACACGGACAAGACCATTATAACCACAGAAGTATCGGTCTAGTCTGGCCGACTTCCTATACATGTAACTTTGTGCAAACGTATTTTTAGAATTATAGAAACTCGTTACGGTTTCCCTTCCTGCTAACAGCATCAGAAGTTAAAAGTCCAATCAGTCTATAAAAAAATATTACGGTTTAGCCGTTTATATACCTTTAAATGTTGTTTTTAGGGAGAGACTCTTACGTTTTTCCGTTTCCCATGTGGTTTAGGATGCAGTTGCCTCGATACGTTTCTTTATTCTTAGTGACACCTAAGATCTGAGATTTGCAAAGTTAAATTACTAGCTGAAAGGGAAATGGTTGGAATTTTAAATGGCCGAAAATTTAGTTGATCATTGAGATTTCAGGGCGAGGGTCGTCGATGGCCTTTAGATTTACGTCACAATAGGTTTCTTTAGCAATAACGAAGTTGAGATCAGGCGGTAGAAAGCTAGTGTTTTTAAAAAGAATTCAGCCAGAAAACCTTTTTGATTTTTAAGAAGTTTGGGCATTTGATTGTTCATTAGGGAACTTTATGTTTTAAGTCGTGTAGTGACGGCAAAGAAATGTAATACACGGGCAGAACTGTGTTTTGCTTGCTAAACCTATTGTGCCTTTTAGACGTTCTTCTTGCCGTCGCCGTCGCCGTCGATACTGTTAAAGCTCCCTCAAATTTCCTAGCCAAGGGCAAGTTAGGATTTGGTCACGTTCTGGATGATTTGTGTTTGTAAAACCAGACACACAGTTTGTAGTAATAAGCATTAAAATGTTGCTCTTTGGTTTTAAGTCTATTACTAAATACCCTCTAATGGTCTGATCTGTAGCAAGAATAATCAGTGGGCTTGTTAACTCGCTGTGGTCTCAGCGTGAGGTTGGAAGACTTCATATCGTTAGTCGGATTAAACGTGTGGTGCATTTGCTGGCTAATGTGTTTGAAGAAGGATCATAGCTGATTAAGCAAAATAAACCGACAAGAAACTTATCTTCAAGACTGAAGACTGAGAACCTATTTCCGTATTGCTTACGTCGGTTTGAACTGACATCTGTTGACAATCTTCTACGGCATACAACTAGCATTGACGAGCAATACAGTCATCACTGGGGTTTGATTTAATTGGACTGGCGCATACATACACCATCTTATCATTCCTTCAGGTTCATATCATTGTCCTCATCTTCACTTAAGCAGACCACCTCGTCATAGCTAACAGAAACAATGTGCGTATCAGTTTAATAGTTTTGGACTTCCAGTGACCGTGAGAACGGAACCATCTCAAGAATCCAAAACTTTAGGCCACCCTGCCCGGCTGGCAGACCACCTTCAGTAAAAGGGAAAAAACCCTCTGTTCTCTTTTTCGCTTGCGTAGACCGCTTTATCTAACGTAACTGTCATTAACAAGGCGCCTAGAGAAGGCGCAGCGTTTTTCTGTTGGGTTTTTTCCAACGAAATTATCTAGATCGAACCAACCGCTCGCTTAAATGCAGATTCCTACATGACTCAGTGTCTTTTTATCAGGACTCCCACTCTACAAAGGCGTAAAACAGTGATCAGCCATGCACGAAGTGCTCAGAATGTTTGTTTGTCCGCGTTTTTGCATGCGTAGGCCGTTTTTGCCACATAACCAACAGAAATAATTCCTTTCGACAGTTTTTTTTGGGTTAATTCACCGGTAGGAATATTTAAGACCGGACCGCCTTAAGCAACCCATAGCTTAAACTGGTAAAGGCAGTTTTCTTCGCGGAAATAGATCGGGGCTCTGACCTGACGGACGTGGACCACCAAATACGACATAACATGAAGAACAAAGGGCATTATTGGGGGTATTCGGTTTGGGTTTTCATGACCGTTTTTAGGTTTTGCCGTCAAAGGATTTCATACCAGAGCTCAACATCCAGTCGGAATACTTTTGATGTGCATTAGAAGTAAATATGTTATAAATTAAACCCAATTATATGACTTAGAAATTGAACTGCAACATCAATAATCAAAACCACATTTGCAGAGCTTGGCAAACCGAAAATAGAAGAGTTTCATTTTCATAGTTTCGAATGTAAGGTCACGAGTAAGAACCGTCTTGCACGGAAAACTCAGTTGATGACACAAGCGAATTCGTTTAAAGAATTTTCTTTACTTTTGCATTTCTCGTTATCACACTGTCGTTATCCTTATCTTTTCTAAGAAAAGGAGTAAAATGTTTACCGGTGGGGGGCAAATTGCCCGAAAGTTTATCGGACAAATTATCTATCGACAGCAACATCATTACGCCAACGGAAAGACGCTAAAAAGAATTGCAAATGGACAGGGTATTTTTTGGCACGAATTGTATCCGGGCTTACTCGCCACATCCGTAATAAAATAGATGAAAACTGACCGCACCCAAAGCTGAAATTGTGTTTTAATTTTCTTCATCGGAAGATCAAGAATAAGCAAAATTTGACGTAGACTAATGGGTTAATTGTTTCATTTTTTGACATTAGTTTTAAGTATCGCTCTTACAAGCGAAGAGATACAGTTACGTAAAAACGGCGAAAGTTGAAGTTGGCCCAACTTTTTCAAGTTTCAATCCATTTCCATTCTTGCCGTTCGTAGAAACAGACGACAGGAAACGGTTTCCAATGCAAAATTATACTTAAATAACAAAACTGGGTCATTATTTTTGAAACTCAATTGACGCGAGAGACGTTTTAGCTTTGTTAAAAGAAAGCAAACAGCGTGACACAGCCCCTTTAACTAAAGACGATACAAGTTAGTTCTATACCTCGAGTTTCACTGCAAACTGGACAACATTTTCCCTCTGGTTTTTTGATCTCTCCCTTGCATGCAGTCAGTCTCGGACATACTTCTTTGGTGCATTCCACAGATTTGTTCTAAAACGACGAACAAAGGAAAGCTGGTTAATTTTCTCAAATCGTGCAATATTCCCCAAGTCCAAACCAAAAAACACCAACAAGCAAACTTCAGGAAACCCAACTGAATTTCACTTCCTTTCAGATTAGGGTAAAATAAAATAGCAACACGCCAAAGTCTTGAAACTTTTTTTTTACAGAGATTTCGTTTAAATGCTCACACTACATCGTAGGGTTCTTTCCACAGAAAAACGTCTTTATGTGTCTCCGTAGTTGGCTATAACAAAGATAGCAGCTCAGTTCTATTTCAAATACCTTTGACTTCTCCCTCTTAGCTAATACAATTATCACCGATTTATATATAAAGGCATCTAATTTGACCTTCCATTTAATACAAGTGATAAGCGTTAAAAACTAAACGTGAGACCATTTGCTATAAGCTTCTTATAGTCGATCTGGTAAAGTGGCAATTTTTTTTTTTTTTTTCAAATTATTTTTAGGCTTTGGATTGTCATTGTTATAACGGATGTGTCGTTATCTATTTCACAATCGATTTGGTCAAACCCCAATGAATTAGCTGATTCCCTGAACTGGTTTAAGTTAAAGTTTTTTACTGTTTTCCATGTTGGATGTTTATCTTTATTTGTAACTAGTTTTTTTTATCACAACGAGTTTAAGCCCGAGTTCACACCGACGAAGCAAATGTAGTAAAACTAGTGTTACGTTTAGCAAGATGATTATCTCGACAGAAATCAATTAAGATTTAGTAAGCTGTTACTGTTTTTTTCGCTTTTTGTTGAAGCTGTAGTTGACAGCCTTGTTGTTGTTGTTGTTTTTTTTTTTTTTGCTTTCTTTCACTGTCTAGATGGTACATAGCCTTTGAAGTTTGTAGGCTTTCCGAAAATGGATGTGTTTAAATGTTAAATTGTGCTACTGAGCAGTAGTTTCCTGTGGTGTTATTATGTTGTACAAGGTGCTTCTAGCTTTTGAGTCTGTGGATGAAATCCTATGGTGTGACCATTCATATGAAAGCTACTGAGCAGTACTTTCCCGTGGTACTGTTCATCATTCTGCACCAGGGAGTTCTAGCTTTTCACTCTGGATGAAGTCGCCCAAATGAAACTACTCAGCCGTACTCGGCACAACGCGTTTCTAACTGTTTCACAAAAGTGAAATTGGTATTTTTCCCTTAAGAGTTAAATTTGGCCGCTGTGGAGAGTGGAATTGAGTAACTATACGTAATGGTAATATCACATAGTCTTGTTCAGCTCTTTACTTCTTTATAGTGTAGTTCTATTTAATTTGCTAGACATCCCGGGCTTGACATAAAATGTTGTACGATAAAGAACCTTGCACGAAAGAGCATGAATAATCTGACCTAGATATCAAGAAGAAATTTCTGTGTCAATATTTTTGTTAGATAACATATTAGACCATCGTAAACAATGTGTTAATTATAGGCATTTCCTTTCGTGTTATGACCGAGTACATCGTTAAATGAGAGATAATCATCTCGTTTTGACGTCATTCTTCTAAAAAAGAAAGACTCGAAATTTCGTGGTCTATAGAATAGTTTTTGCGTAAAATTCCTCGGAATAAAAATCGATCTCAAAGATTGTCTGCATAATATGTAAGTTATGCAAACGGATTGTGAAATTACCAGGCATAGTGGAAGGGGGTATTTGAGGCCTGCCTGCACTGATGACAAAAGTTTCATCTCCAGAGCTATTTTAAGGGCTCATTTATTTTCATACTACTTTATAGCCAACTCTCTCTGATACGGACACCTTTGGGATCGGCACCACCACTACACAACTGTCTCTTAACGGACACCTCTGTAAAATGGACATCTAGAATGGCCCCGGCCTTTTAATTCTAGGGTTCTTCGTTTCAACGTTTGAAGAAGTGATATTATAAGTCTTACACTCAAAGTAGCAGAAATCCGCAAAAATTTGAGGAAAGAGTCCAAGTTTCACTTTGTAAAATTCTGGAAAACAAACAGTGCGACGCGAAAGTTCTGCTAAAGTGATTTCATTTGATTGGTTACGCTTATGGGTGTCTTTCATAGAACCACCTTGAATTGAATAGCACAGGGAAGTACTGCTCAGCAGCTTTCATTTGATTGGCCAACTCGAGCCGATTCCACAAAAGTTACAAGTATATCGCATGTCTCCACAGTGGACAGTGCAAATGGACTGAAAGTGTTTTTTTGAAAATAGGTGATGGGTACCACATAACGTCTCCTATAGTAGTTTAGGCGTGACAGTGCCTGTAGAATACGGAGCGTTCCAACTGTTTCCTAATAGTAGAAACACTTTTTTTATTTCTCTTTTCGTTTTTGGTCATCGAAACGCTCAAGTACACATCAATACATTTACGATGAGCCCTCTAAACCTATTGTATTTTTACGTTCTCGTAGCCATCACGTTGTCGGATCGTAAAGTCGCTCGTAGATTGCGGAAAGGAGTGACTGGCCCTCAGCTGACCTTGTTCATATTGCAGTTGCTACGTGTCTTGAAAAGTCAAATCATCACTTAGAAATGAAGTGTAAATAAAGCATGACAAGAATGATTTATTAATAGAAAGATACGAGATATAAAAGCATGGTTGTCATAACTTTTTGAAGAAGTAGCCCAGATAAATTGGTTTCACCTGCATGGGCGGGTCACGCATGATTTTCTCCTCGTCGGCTCCTCGACTGAGTCGAATGTGTTAACCTCTCTGTTTATAATGTAAACTGTACCTTATATTTTAGAAGAGCAAGAGAAGATGATCGGTTGAAGAAGGAAGGATGAAGCAACGAAAATTTCCATTGATAATATTTATAAACAGGTCAATCTGATTTTTTACAGAACTTAAACATTGTAAAGTCGCGTAAATTGTTTATTATGCAAATGCAATTTGTATAGACTATGGGAGCCTTATAAACAAGATAAATTTGAGGTCCAATTAGATGGGAAGCGAAAGGAATTTGCAGTTATAACTTTAGCTTGCGAGTGCCTCCATTTATAACTCTCAGGCAACTAATAGTCTCACGTATTGCTCAGCTACCGGCCTGGAAAAAATGATATGTTTGATGACTGACAAACCGCTGAAGGTTGAAGAGCCTATACTTAGACATTTGTGTTCAGGAAAGATTTCCTTTGTCCACTGATTTAATCAGACGTGTTTGTGTAACAAAGCCGGCGTTAATCCTAAAAATTGTTGCATTTTCAGGCCTGGACACATGAGTTTGTTGAGAACGTTGTGTTAAACTATTGCGAAGGGTGTACCCTGCACGAAACACTCCCTAAAGTGTGAATAGTCAAGAGTCCTCGATGCTACATTAATTGGCTCTATTAATTTTCTTTCCTTCCACTTCTCTGCATTTGAAGTTGAAGAAGTCGCCAGAAAGAACTAACTAGATGTATAGAGTGATAGTAGGCTTTGAAATATTTTTACAGTTGAGCAGACAACCGAAATCCAATTGGGTCAATTCTTCTGATCTTGTTGTTTAATCCACTTCATGCTTAGAAATTGTTTACACTGAGAAGACAACAATGACCTTTCAACAAACAGTTAAAGTTAAGCGGGTTACATGTATATCAGCCACAGTTGCTAAAATTCTACCAATCCAATTTTGATCGAAGAGAAGAACAATTGCTTTGTCGAAAGGTTGGCTATTTTTTCTTGGGTATTAAATGAGACAGCTCCAGTAATTGAGTAGGGGAAAAACAAACCAAAAAAAATATTTTTTTTAGCCGTTTCGTGGAATTTTGACATCAGTGTTAATGGAAATCAAAAGTTTTTAGCCGTCTTTTATAAGTACTGATAAAAAGACGACTGTGAACCTTTTACATGCGGGAGAGCGCAGTCTTTTAGCGGATTTCCGAGGGCAAAGTTTGCTAAATTGCGCGTGCCAGAATTTAGAGGCTAATTTTCCTCCAGTATTTACCTTCCGCTGCCGTCACATCCCTGGGATAAGCGTCTTTCAGTTTCATATCCATTTATACACGCCTCTGCGCTAAACACTAGCTTATTTAGTAGAGTCATTGTGCTGTACTGAATTTTGTATCTCTGAACAAAATCCTGCGGTGTTACCATTCAAATGAAACTTCTTCAGCATTTCTTTCACATTGTACTTCTTGTTTTTTAGTATTTTACAAAAAAGAAACAAAGCATTATTCCTTGAAATTTTTGTGTGTGGGAAGATAGGAAGTGCCTTCTCGAATTAACCATTTAGCGTTTTTTTTAATTTTCTATTGTCGAAACTTCCTCATAACATTTACAGTTGTTCTCACTTTTTCATCCGGAATAAGTAGAACGAGTTTAAACTGGATGTTTTGTAATGTGGAACGTGTCACCAGTTAAAGCAATATGAGGAAAATCTTGACTTTCTTAAGATCTGTTACGAAATCGAACGCCTAGAACATATGGACCGAACATCCGGAAAGAAAGGCTTGGACATTTGCGCGTAACATATTTGGAACAATGAAAGGTGCACCTTCTCGCCAAAGAGAAATAAATAATAATTTCATTTTTGTTGATAAAAGACTCGGATAATAGAATCTTACTTCGGGTGTCTGGAGTGTTTTAGTCATCGACTTTATTGATTATCATTGGTTCTTATTTTCCATGGTCCTCTGCCAGCTTTTATCACTTTCGACCTTAATCTGTTATATTTTTTTAGTATTCATAGTGAAAGGAACAGTAATTTGGTATTTGGCACGGGAAATTAATTCTTCGAATAGTTCAGGTTCATTTAAGTTTGACGACAGACGAAAGTGGTGTTCCTCTTACCTTGTTTTCATCAGTTATGTATGACTTATTTGGTTGAAAAAGAATACATAGCAATTCTCGCTTGAAAAGCCTGACTCAGTTAGAATTCTCAAAAATTTGATTATGCAAACCATACTCAACACGGCTTCATTCACTCGCGTTGAAATGTCGTACGTTTCTAGTTGTCGAGTTTATGAACCGAGGAAATTCTGCGATGTAACCATTTTAACTACATCTTTTCGTAGTCTTTTCAAATGGTACCCCCTTTTTCTGTATTTTTCCACTCATGTTGGATTGTTCCTCAATTTTGAGCATCCCTCGGAGAATGAAATGCGCGGAAAATGCGTATTTATCATAAAAAAAGCAGTCATGTGCAGGACTTACTGTCTACTGAAGGGAGGTCGTATTGGGTGCGACCAAGAGGTGATTTTTCTTCAGTATGACAAGACAGGTGTCGCCGTTTTGCCAGACTAACACAACAAGGGCCGTTTCGTAGTAAGGCTTGTGCAACTGCGTGTTCAAAGCGTGGTTTCCCTGGAAGAGAAACGAGTAACGCTCCTGGCGACATGTTTTCGATAAGAAATTGTTGTTGCTAACGGATGTGAGCGTTGCTTTGGATTACATTTAAAGGAGTTCTGTCATGAAAGTTATCAAAATTTTAACAGTGGAAACTACCACCAAATTGGGTGAAACAAAATGAACTGCTCAAAACATTAAAAGAAAGTATAGATGACACAGCAAATACCAAAGGAAGCACAGATGGACAAATTTGGAGAAGATCGAAAGGGATTGCAATTGAGCTTTTTGAAAACTTCTCAGCCTAACGGTTTGGTTTTTAAAGTTCATTTTTGTTACTCGTAACGTTTGATATATTGCTTGGGAGACATATTCCTTCGACACAAAGCTGTGATTTGGCCATTCACTAGTAATTCCTCAAATTTCATAGCAAAAAAGGACGCTTAAATGGCATTATTATTTTGTTGAAACAAAATGAACTCGACAACCGCGACACTACTCTTTTTAACGTGGAAAGGAATGTGGTGTGTGCAGTGTAACAGTGTTTAAAAGGTTTAGATTCTTCTGCCATCCGTTCGATTGTTTATCAGTGACAGGTCATTTTTTGTACTTATTGGCCTGTCAATCCTTTCCATGAGAGTGAAAAAAACATTTGAAAAAATCTTCACCTTTCATTTGGACAAATCTCGTAACTTAAATTGTACCATGCAAACGTACCCAAAGAGGTCTCATTTGAATGGCAATATGATAGGTGTTCATTCATTGACTATAACGGTGGAACCTTTTCTTGTCCATCTCGCCCGACTGAAATAACTCTTGAGGTCTGTTAACAGTTAAGAGGTTCTTTATTCTTTTGACAACATCGTAATGTAAAAACCAAAAGGTTCAAGGTTAACCCTTTTAGTCCTAGACCACATCATGGATTACTTGTCGCTCGAACATTTAAGCCTGTGGACGCCGAAATCCTATGAGGTTACCATTGAAATCAAACTCCTTTGGCAGAATCTTTGCGTGGTACTATTTATTTCTGAGGATTTTGAAGACAAGAAGACTTGAAAGAAGTTTGATTTTTGTGATGAAGTATTCGTATGGCTACCAGTTTAAAAGTAACAGGGTTAAGGAATGGTTTGTAGATTCTTCAGCAATGTCACGAGTCTTGATGTTGACAGCTTTCATTAGGAGTGCTGTTCTTCAGAACTCTCTTGCATATACTCAAAACCTTTTTCACGTGATACCAAACAGAACCTTTTAAGCACGCACTTAATGCAAAAATGTCATTACTACGGCCACGTATCACAGCACAGTTTCTTCCTGAAAGAGAATTCAATTTTTAACGTCCACTGAGAAGAGGCCTTGCCGAAAGATTGCGTGCATGTTCCTTTTTCCCGCTTTTTTTCATGGACGAATTCGTGCAATTTCCAATTTTTTTTCGTGATTTCGTTCTGGAATTTACGAAACTGGCTGTAAACTTTACTGAAATAGCTCTCTTTTTTGTTTTACTTGTAAGTCAAGCTTGAAAGATTTATAAGTGCTTTGATTGTTCTTTTTTTGTGATACATGTGAGAAACTTGAAACTTGACGTTATACGTACTTCGTCATGAGTGTAAAGCAATTTACTTTGCATACCAACGACATGGTCATTTGAGCACTTCAAAAGTAAGTATTCCACTGACCGAATCGCTTCGACCTTTAGCTGATAAGAAAAAGCGTTCTGGCTCAATATTACGTTACTTTCAATTTTGGCTATTTCGTAATGTATACAAAATAGATACACGGGCCGCGTGTTTCATGTAGCGGTGCCTGGGTGTTTTATCTAAATAAAGCATACGGTGCCACCAAGTGTTTCTGCAATTATGTGTAATTAGTTCTCATAACCGAAACAACCAAACAAATCAATACGGTATTATTGTGCGGGACAAAATTGAAATATTTGCACGCGTATTTTAGTCTTCTCTCGTTCAGGCACCGCGAGTGCATTATCTTCTTCACACGCGCACGGGTTTTCATCAATTACCTTTTTTCCGTGTGAAATGTAAATACCGCGTCTTTGGGTTTCCACCCTCCGAATGTTTACGTTGAAATTTGAACATCATTTTTAGTCATTTCCTAATCCTATAAAAACCCTTTGCTGCCTTTTTATAGATCTGCTTCGGTTTCATGCCAAACTCGTGTCATCTGGGCATGCATTCCTTATCGAACGACGGTGCATTGTGTTGTCACGTCCTAAGGCGAATACCTTGATAGGAAGAAAGAAAGCGTTCACACAAACCTTACATCGGCACACGAAACAAGGATTTCCCGGCCCAATTGGTAGGTCAATGACTTCGTTCTCAACAGAGCATGATACCAGACTCCCTGCAGTAAAGACAGTGTTAGTTAGTGACTGCTAAATAGCTCTCCTACGGGCTAATACAGCCACCTAGCCTGGTATAGGCAAAATGCTAGGCCCTACAAACCTTCAAGTCCAGGTGTGGTCGAGGCCGCCAGCGAAATTAGCAGTAAAAACGCCGCTGAAGCTAACAGCTGTAAGTTAGCCTGCCTTGAGTGAAACATGCCAAGATGTTGTTTAGATTCTTACAGTCTCTAGCCGTAGTCTCAATCAAACCCTGACCTAACCCGATTACGTATACCACTTCAGTGGGTCTTAAGTGTCCAAGCTTGGGCTATGTAATGACAAGAAAGCGCGTGTGTGTCGCTTTTCAACAGATTTTTCCCACTTCCGTCACAAATAACCCGACCTCTCGGCGCCGACGCGTTGCCTGTAGGCGGAGGCCAGCCTTATGTGATGTATCGCTGGTTCTACTTGAGTCAAGCACGCGAATGTTAATCGATTACCAAATGACATTAATTACCGTGTTTGGCCCTAAGCTGGCTCATACCAAAATTCCAACGTGTTACTGCGGCCGTCATTCATTATCGCGCATCGCGGTCGCCCACGAATCAGGAAAAATTGCCAACAGGGATTTTCGCAAAAACCCCCCTTGCGGGACCCGGCGAGACGCCGGCCTTAATAGGTACATATTCATATACACATACACGCATACGGAGGCGAATGCTTCCTAGGGTGCTTGGTAAAACTTAGTTTACAGTTTTATTGTTTAGTGCCACGAGGAATAGTTTTTTGTAAGTGACTGGTGTTTATATCATAATGTAGGCTTAGTTTTTCCTTTCTTTTATTTGTCTACGCATTTCTTTGTTTGCCTCCGAATTGAATGAACAAAAGGAGTTTGGATTTAATCGCTCATAGTTGGGTGTTGATAGCGATCTATATGTTTAAACTTCTCGTGCGCGCCGTATGTCCGATAGAGAGAACACTTTTGGCTATAGTTTGCTAATTTGTTTTTAATTTCTTCGCGGTGTTACGTACACGCAACTTGACAGCATAATTTTCTAGGATTTCAGTACTAAGTGCGAAGTTTATTCAATTCATTATCAAGAATGATCTGTTGAATTACTCCAGCCATGCCGGCGCCGCCGCACAAGGCCTCCAAAAATTGGCTTAATTTTCAACGATTTAAGTAAGTCACTTAACTGACGCCTATGGCTTATAACCTTGTTAAATTTCCTTTCCTTGTCATTTGTCAGTTAGATTTTAACAGTACAACTGGTAAACACTTTTTTTTTCTAAATACTGTTGAATTTTATCAGGATGAATTAGATTAAGCAAAGTACTAAGTTATGACTTGCCATTGAATGGTCACACTTTGTTATTTTGTCAACAAGTTGCAAAAGTTAGAACCACATAATATTGATCCAATTGGGCGCGATTGACTCTGTTGCTTAAAGTTACTAGTTTAATTACTCTTATCACATACATAATCTTTCAACAGTGTACACTTCAACACCTCTGAATAACTCCAAGAATGAAGACATTATCAGCCCGGCAGGGAAATAATTTTAGATATCAGGGGAAAAGAAAACAAATTCTCCGACCTTGTTTACGAACTACCAGCATCGCGGCGAAGCTTTGCTTTTCCACATCACTGCGATAAGGGGGAAAAAAAGACAATTACTTCTTTTTATTAAGATCGCAAGACGCCTCGACGGCTCGGTCTGCCTTGTCTACTTGCCTTTACATTCTTTGTATTCTTTATTAGGTGTTAAATAGATAAGAACTGTAAACTCAATTAACAGACTTTTCACTGCTTTTGTGTTTCTGCATAATAAAATATGGATAAGACAGCTCGCATATATTGCTTATGCGATTGCGGAATTTGTTTTGAAGAGTTATTTTTATATGTCGTTCAGTTAAAGCCAATTACAAACTGTTCACTTGCTGTCAAAGATACTAAAAATACTGCGTGATATAGCACTTGAACGCGTTTCATCAGTTTCTTTGTTAACGTTATTTTCAGTCATAATTCATCCATCACTCCTTACGTTTCGCTTGCTAAAATAACACTTTCAGGCGTATTTGTGTTGATAAACTCCTGGATATTTCGACCTTTCTAATACCTTCGTTTATCGCTACTCTTCAGTTATAAATCATCTTTTCAAAACTATAATTAACAAATTTATCCGAGCCTCTTAATTCTTTAGCTAGCCCGAGGTGCTGTAGATTATCAAGGTAGAAAACACTCCGCGAAAGGCGGTATGTGTTAGCCACAATTTTCCCAAGCATTAGACCAATATCAATATCAAGGCAATATCAAGAGATGTTTTTATGGACTGTTTCTTGACTGAGTTTCCGGTGAATAGACCTGACTTTATACTGTGAGACAAACGAAAGTCGCGGCGGCGAAAACGTTGGCGTGTGATTGATTACACCCTATCGAACTTTCGAATGTATGTATGAAAAAACTGAAACTTGAATGGGAACTATCAAAGTCAAACCTGAGCTTTCTTCTTCTGGCATTTTTTGTTATGAAGTTTTTTATCACCGTACTGTTAGGTTAGTTGGTAAAGCTCTTGGCTGCAGAGCGGGAGGTCGCGCGCTCGCTTCTTCATCGCACCAATACCTAGCAGTGGGGAATGTTGCGAGGGATTTTTAAGATAGATAGTAGAAGTTCCTGAAGTTCTAAAATATTGCCAGCTTTTGTAGCCGTAAAGCAAATCGTGTAAGGTTTTTTTCATCTTTTTCTAGAACAAAACCTTCTGGAATATAAATGAGCTTAGGCTGTATAGGCGTGAAGATCCGCTTATTTAGAATTTCCTTTTTGTTAGTCTTACGCAAAGCAAATTGAGTTGCCTAAATACAATTGGCTGGAACTCGTATATGACAGTAGGTCTTTCTGAAAATTGTCTGAGCTCTGCCGGCAAACTAAATTAATGAAGAACACAAAAAGAAGGGAAAAACCGACATGTTGCTGAACAAAGTATTGATCAACCTGTTCTAAAGAGTAGCATACCACCTTTTGCTTAATTCCGGCATAAAACGGTTCCTTTTACAATACGTAGGGTTTGAGAAAACTACGCATGAATCCTGTAGCTGTCCTACAAACGGTCAGGGATCATCACGTTTCTGGGAAACTGCCCACCTACCCCTCCCCTAAGCCAACATTTTGCCGTAAGTGAGTAGTAAGTGTTAATTTTGGCTCTATAGGGGAGGGGCAGGTGGTCAGTTACCCAGAAACGTGTAATGATAAATGGGACGGAACACCGAATGGGTGGACTTTCTACAATCGGCGATCCAGAGACTGTGTGTAAGATAATTATTTGCCTCTGAAACTTTAATATCTGTGAAGGAAATCCTATGATGTTCCATTCATTGCTATTGATTTCTTCAGATTTTTCTAAAAGATTATCTTTTTTTTATATCTGGAGTTTATTCTCTGCTGACCATAGGTTTAACGACGCATTAGTTGAAACCGTAAAGAGTCAACGCTACTAAGCAGTGCTTTCCTTGGTGTCTGTGCATATAATCATATATTTTGACATATACTTAATAAAAGCTACTGAGTTGTAGTTTCCTGGTGGCTATTTTTTATACTGCACAAGGTGGTTCTAACATTTGAGTGAATGGATGAAATTATGTGGTGTGATCATTCAAATGAAAGCTACTGAGCAGTACTTTTCTTTGGTACTGTTAATTATGTTGTACAAGGTGGTTCAAACTTTTGCGTCTGTGTATGAAATCCTATGGTGTGACCATTCAAATGAAAGCTACTGAGCAGTACTTTACTGTGGTACTGTTAATTATGTTGTACAAGGTGGTTCAAACTTTTGCGTCTGTGGATGAAATCCTATGGTGTGATCATTCAAATGAAAGCTACTGAGCAGTACTTTTCTTTGGTACTGTCCATTATATACTATGCAAAGTGGTTTTAAAGTGTTAGTTTGGGGATGAAATCCGGCCTAAATTGGGTGCATTCATGTAAACTGCTGAGCAGTTTCATTTTCTGTTACCCTTTACGGATCATGCTACACAAGCTGGTTCTGCCTTTTGAGTGTCTTAAAAAGAATGTCCAACATACTCCACTGGATTCCAGACGTTACCTACTAGACCCTAGTGGAGTTATCAGAAGTCTTTTCGTGAAATACCTCGTTCTTTAAGCTATGTTAATAATTAACCACTTATGTGAATTTTAAATTCAAATTTTAGGTAGCCGTTAAAAGATATTTTCTTCTCGGTATAGTTCTGGCCCTTAGGAAGGCTAATATTGGCCGATAATATATCAGCCCTTTGCCGTAGTGCCAGCCTTGCATTCAGTTTTATTTTATGTGATTGATAGTTCATGAGCGTGTATAACGGTATATCGGATGTATCAAAGGTTCGCTATTTCTTGTCAATCAGGAGAACTATATTTAACTGTTTCTGTTATTTTTGTGCCGAAGGATGTGACCTGAACAAAATATTTATTTGCATAGCATCAGGGGAAATGTTACTGTGTAAAATATCACCCACAAACTGAAAATAATTCATGAAGAAATAAATAAATCGAAGAGGGTTTGGGGCGAGCTGCGATTTTTGTTATTACAACATTTTGCAGACTTTTGCTTGGAGGTTCTGCACAAAGAACTTGTAAGAAGAGAACACCTTAATTCAGTGTTCATTTAGACAGAGTTATCAGCTATCCGGACACAAAGTTGGTTGAAAGATAGAGGCACACTTCTCGGTGTTAGGTTAGCAGATGAAACACTTCGGTGCTGTCACGAAACTCATCAAATTTCAAACAGTGGCAGTTTCCACTAAACTGAGTGAAACATAAAAATAACAGCTCAGAACATTAAAAGAAGGTGTAAATAACACTTCAAATATAAAAGAAGGCACGGATGGACAAACTTGATGAGGACTGAAACGGATTAAACATTGTGGTTTTTGAAAACTTCATAGCCTAACTGTTTTTCAAAGTTTAGTTTTGTTCAGTGTCTGTTTGATTTAATGCTTGGGAGACACTTTCAGTTTGACATGAAGCTTTTATTTTATAATTTGCCAGTAATTTCGTCGCTACCGTTTAATTCCATTCCAAATAAGGACTTGTATATAATTGGCAATATTAGCAAAATGAACTAGAAAGCAGTGTCAAAGCCCCTTTAAATTTGGGACCAACGTTCTTGCTGGCTTTAATTTGTTCTAATTGATTGAAATCTAGCTTATAAGAAAGCAACTGAAATGGACTAAAATTAGTCGTTGCACTTGATGCCGGATATTGACGTTTGGAATTCTAGTTGTTCGTTTCCTTAAACAAGATATAAGAAACTTGCTGCATTGAAAATTTTAAATTGCAGGCAATAACAAAATTCAAAATTCATTTGGTAAAAGTGCTGGAGAACAATTTTGTGAAAGTATTACTGACGAGATTTTC